CGTCGTGATTACTTCTGAAGTTGTTTCTAGTCTTCTACATTTGTGAATGAATTGATTGATGTTAGAGACAGCAGATGGGTCGTATATGCCGAGGAGGCTATTGCTGAGAATGAAATGCATACGGAGATAATTGTTAGCTGTGGTCCCACACGCCGGGGAGAAAAAGTGCAAACGACTGAGGCTCGCATGCGTCACCGCTACTAGAACTGAGGCAGAATGAGTGACAAGCGATTGCAGTGGTAATCGGTAGTGAGTAGATAAGAGGATGTGCGTAGAGTATCATGAGTTGGTGCTATGGTCACGTTGCATTCTGCAAGAGTCATTCTAGGAAGTGGTGGTGTAACAACAGAAGACAGGGGCCAGGCAACAGATCGTTTTATTATGAAAATCAACACGTTTTTATACATATTTCGACTACATTATTATAGACAAGCGCAGTCATCTGATTGGTTGTTTATCAGAAGTTAGGTAGACAAACGCAGGCTTCTGATTGGTTGTTTCGGGATTCCTTGACAAATAGAGTTCTCTATCTGCGAATCATATTTTGCCACGTTAACTTTGCTGTGATTGGTTGTTGACTCAGCCTTGTTCATATTTTCTCACGGCCCATATTAGTGACCTAGACCTTAACGTAGATTAGTGCCAACCAATCGGCTAGCAGCCTGCTCTCACCACACTTGTCCCCCCGTCAAATACGTGCGACTGAAGTCGGCTTGATCTACTTGGTGCAGGCGTCATCGTTGGCTTGTCTCGCTGTATCCATTTCTGGAGCTCGCTGACGTTCACGCGCCTCTCATTGTTCGCCATTGCGACTGTGTCTGCGTAACCCCATCTCGAAGTGACCATATATGGTCCTTCCCACTTTGGAAACTGTTTGCCTGACCCTGTCGAACATTCGTCCATACTTCGGCCCACACCTTCATATGCTGCTTTCGCCCGACCTCCCAGCAGCGTCTCAAGTAGCAGCTCCATCGCTGACAGATCTTGAACGCCACTCAACTGCGCAGAAGCCTTGAAGTCCTGCCCGAAGATCCATATGTCTCCATCAAAAACTGCAGGGTATAGGCTTTTCATTTGTCGGTAGGCAGCGACACCAAATGTAACAACAGAAGACAAGGGCCAGGCAACAGATCGTTTTATTATGAAAATCAACACGTATTTATACATATTTCAACTACATTATTATAGACAAGCGCAGTCATCTGATTGGTTGTTTATCAGAAGTTAGGTAGACAAACGCAGGCTTCTGATTGGTTGTTTCGGGATTCCTTGACAAATAGAGTTCTCTATCTGCGAATCATATTTTGCCACGTTAACTTTGCTGTGATTGGTTGTTGACTCAGCCTTGTTCATATTTTCTCACGGCCCATATTAGTGACCTAGACCTTAACGTAGATTAGTGCCAACCAATCGGCTAGCAGCCTGCTCTCACCACAGTGGTTGTGTTGCAAGATGTCAAGAGGAGGCCTTTATCTGGAGGCGCAGGTCGTCATCGATGTGTGAGATTGTGCTGTGAGTATGCTTGTGGTGTGTCGGCTTTTCTGTTTGTTTTCCATTTCAGCTCTGTCCGTGTGACCCAGGTTCTCGCAATGGCATCCCAGTCAACGTGTATTGGTCGTGATGGAAAAAAGGGGTTGGATCCGTTTTTTGCCGGTGAGTGTCAATGTAGTTGAAGATTGAACGATCAATTCATGGTTGTTTGCTCAAAACCAACTTCCCCAATTTTCGCGGAGACATCAATACACCAGTCATCATCTCATCGGTCGCTGTTCAGAAAGAAGGGTAAAACATCGTCAGAAGTAATACAGAGATTTATTATTGTAATATTTATTTACAGACCTTATTTCGCTTATTCCTTTTATATGTTGGTGTGACAATAAACAAATCTAAAGCGGCAGATCAGTGTTTTGGTTTTTGCGTCCGTTATTACTAAGCGTTTCTGAGAAATCTTCGAAGAACAGCGTGGGCTTGAGCGTAGCGAGAGCTGGGCATTAACGGTTTATGAGACGTGATTGACACACCTTGTGGTAAACCAACTCCATTGACAGTACACTGTGTTCTGCTGGAGATGTTCCGAATATTAATACTTTCGCATACCCTAGGTATTTGGAATACTTCTAATATATGAATGAAACCTGAAAAGCAGTCTGAGGTCAGACTAACGGCGGGATAGGCATTGAAGGTAACGCCTTCCACCTTCATGAACACACACACTGCTCTGGAGCTTGGGAAACACACGATGTACATTAGCGGAGACGGAAGCCTCACCATGCAGCAGCTGGTAGTTCTCTATCTGTAAATTGCATCTCTCCATTCGCATCACATCAGCCAGCTAACCACGGCCACTAGATGTTTAACTGGGCTGCCAGAAAGAATTAGCTACGGTTCTTCAAAGGTGAAACAAGGTCAAAGATAAGGTTAGAGGAAATTTTCGGCCCGGTAAAGGCCTACCTTGAATCCTAGGGATGCAGTAAATTGAGGTCGCAATGCATCCATAAGCCTCAGTTACACTACAGTGGAAGTAGACAAATAATGTCACCAGAATATCTTTATACATCTTAAGGAAAAAATGATAAAAGTTTATATCCATCAGTATTGAACACTTGGTTCAAAGTGTAACACCTCAACCAAAAGCGTACTTCAAGTCGGCTACCGCGCAACAAGGCGCGGTGGTGAAACTCACTATAGGTGTCCGACAAGGCAACATGGTAAGGTTGGGAGGCAAAAGAGGTGAATTCAAAAACCCAGGGTTATGCTCAAAGGAAGCTTACCACAACTTCGCTGTTTATCACAGAAAATGCCTGGTTGATTGAGAATGCTAGAGATTTTACTATGTGGTGTCCTTGAGTAAAAACAATCGAAACTCCCAACTAGTGAGCATTTGCCAGTGAAAGGTAGCAGTGGATACTTGGTCACAGCGTTTGATCTGACTCTTTGCGAGCGCTCAGGGGGGTGCAACGCCACAGTGTCTGTGATGAGGAAGTTTCGACTTTACTGAGATGTGAAGAATTTCGTCTAGAGCAGAATGGCTCACAGACTGGGCTGACTTATCAGCAGAAGGACACTTGGAAATGGTGAAAGGGGTTATTCATACAGCAGCCTGAGAAACTATCCCTCTAGCACTACTTCACCCTCATGGCTGAAGGGATGCATGCAGTGTATTCTGCAAACGAAGCGGAAAGCTTTGTCTTCATGGCGATTCTCTGACTATCACATGTCCTATAAGGCGTACCTGGAACTTAGGAGTCGATGCAACTCAAGGGTCATAAGGACTGCAGTGTTAACTTACCAATCGGTAAACTCCAGATAAACCCCTCTGTGGTACTATAGGAGTTGACGAAACTCACACATGGAAAGTTTCCAGGTCGTGACAACGTTCGGCCATCTGTTCTGCAATAGTGCACAGAGGCTGTCCGTAGGCCTTTATGTGACCTCTTTCGAAACTATATGGATTCAGGGAGACTACCAAAGCAGTGGAAGAGACATATTTTCTCCTATCTTCGGAGATGGGTATCTGCAAAATGCCACCAGTAATAGACCAGTAGCATCACTCCTAGTGGTTTTAAGAGTACTGAAAATTCTGACTGATGATCGCATCAGGCAGCACCGCAACAGGACTAACATACCCTATGAAGCAAATGGTTTTGTAAGAGTAGTACTGACTTAGGGTAGACCTCAATAATAAACGCTCTTACAAAAACTTCACCGTTTTATGCCCTTAGCTGTACTCTACCTAACGTGTAAGTATTGACGAACGAAATCAGTAAAAAGACTTGATATGATAAGCGTGTCAGGACAGAGTTATATTTTATACAAATGAGATATGAAACTTGATAAATAAAGAGTTTATCCAACTTATATAGTGCCTTGATTTGTGGTAGGCTCAGAGAGTGCACTGAATGAAAGCATAACAGGAAAGCGAACCAGATGTGTACAGCAGAGTTAAAACTCAAAAGATGATGATGTGCCAAATGAGTGGGCGAGTGAGTTCAAACAAAAGTTCAAGGGTTCAATGTGCAGTACAGTTTAAAGAGAGATCCCGTGTAACAGACCTACTACCAGCTTGGGACTTTTGGGAATCATGCTAAGGTATGAATGTTCTACTCCATGTGATCTTCCTCGACTTCGTGAAGGTACATGACACAGCTTAGCATATCCTCCTCCCACATAAAATAAGTCAGACGAGTATTGGTTAACCGCTTCTCTTATGGTTGGAGGACAACCCAAACGAAAGGAAATTCTGCACTAAGGTTAATCGTATCCCGTCATCATGACACAGTCCGCCATCAGGAGTATCACAGGATTTTATCCTGGGGTCCTCAGTGTTTTCGATATCCATCAGTGATCTTCCATAGCGTCTACATACTTTCTACTAATTATGTTGTTGTGGATGTCTATTTTCGAACACACTGGATGACTGAAAGCCTGAAGGGTTAACCCATTCGCAACAGCAGCACGACCTTAACACACTACATACTGCCAGCTAAATATAACCAATCTGTACCATACTTGCCTCGGAGTCAGCGAGTGGAGGTACAATTTAAGAGCAGGCTTACGAAAGGTCAGAACACTAGCCTTAAAACCAGAAACAAACCCAGAGGAATCAGTTCGACTTACACCAGCTAGTAAAAAGTATATTAGATATTGAATTGGCATGTCACATAACTTGTTCAGTGTACGCAACCTTACATGTTTGAATCACTCTCGTCTAACGCTCGTTAGGCCTGTCGTGACTGCCATTGGTCGTTTCAAGGACGGAATGGTCGCGCAGCCTTGATATTCCTCCTCCAGAAACATTGTTGTTAAACCTAAGAGACGTTGATATCACGTCGTGTGTTATAATCACTTGGTTGTTTATTCGAGTTTCACCACTGCTACTAGTTTTAATCCTTCAGAGTACTTCTGGTCTCACGTTTACAGGCAAACATTAACCCCCGATTCAAAAGATTTGCCTAGTAGTTTATTTACTTCTGGATATTTACTACAGTTGAGTGGAAGTTATGGGTAAGTGTAATGTAGTGAATAACATTTTCGTTTGATGAGTGTAAAGAGTGCAATCGCAGTTTCCTGCAGGCTACTTAATTTTTTGTTCAAGTACTTGAACAGTGGTAAGCACGTGCTCACTACAGAAATCCTGAGGACAAACCATTGCCGTATAATTTTTTTGGCCCGTAGTTCTTACCTCGTAAAAATGGTCCTGCCCGAACTTTTAGTGCTTCCCAGCTACCATTGACTTCGGGACCACTGCAGATCTTAGGGGCAAACTGCAGGTGACTGTTCCACTTTCTGCAATACACACGAAGGAAATGCCAGCTGAATTTCTTGGGGTTTACCCAAATTCACATGTATTTGTGCAGAGTTCCCCTCTACTCGCATTTATTCCCTGGCATTGTAGAACTTACGGGCTTTCAGTGCATAAATTTTCGTGTATGCGACTACCTTTGCGTTTTGTTGTTAATCTAAGGTTTCTCTGATTCGAAGGATTCACGGAAGGTTATGCATATAATTGAGACGTGAGCTTGTAAGCGGCGTAGTTCACGTGTCTGTTGTATGTTCATTTTAACTCGTAGTTCGCATCTACAGGTATCATGACCATGACCCCACGCTCTTACCTTCCGCATGTTGCACATACATGTATATATATAACCCGGGTGTTTGCCGTATTTCACACTCTCTAAAGAAGCAGTTTAACTTGTTAATACATGCGGAAATGCCACAATTAGGTGGTTTAGTTTTGGTTTCTGCATTAACCAGGTATTTGGAATCTAGCTAGTGGAGTAGCGGAAGTTCAGATATTTTATCCTTCTTCAGCACAAAAAGTTTCAAGGCAGTACCACAGAGAACTGAAACCTTATGAGTAGTTTTGGTTTCCTCCCTACCTAGCAATCGACGCCTAACTTTACTAATACTTAAAATATTAAACCACTTAATACAGCAGATACACTTTCCAACATAATCAATCCTAAGATAACCATTAGATTAGATTATTATTACCGCTAATGATATTGTGAGTCGGTGGCACAGCAGTAAAATGTTCCCCGACCACATAGGTGGTCCGATGGTCCCCCGCCGACCCACTCCTCTACCTCACTATGCCAGTAATAAGATTGGTAAAGAGGTAAGGTTGGGCATGAGGCTAGCAACCCCAATCCCATAAAAATAAACACCATTGCTATCGAAACTTCAAAGTTCTAGCTTGAAGCCCTATGTTCCACTGGGAACGTAAAGGAATACAAACCTGAATGCTATCTCAAGATGTTGCTTCATCTAAATTTTTTTTGATTACAGCTTGATTCCACACTGTATTTTTGGTACAAGTATGGAATTTGTGCGTCGGTGGCGCAGCGGTTAGGATGCTAGCCGACCATGCTTATGGTTCGGGGTTCGATCCCCGGCCGGCGCACTTCTTTACCTCACTCAGCCAGAAGTAAAGCTGCTGAAGAGGAAAGGTTGGGTATGGGGCTAGCAACCCCATCCTGTAAAATTAAACACTGCTACAGAAACTTCAAGTCACTAGCTTGAAGCCCGATGTTCCACTGGAACGTGAAGGAAAAATTATTATTCTATTTTATGGAATTTTCAGCATGGATATCGGTAGCCCGACTTTTGCAGGCCGACCATAGATATCAGGTGTTCGTCGGCAGGGTATCAAACCTCGGACCATGTGCATGGTCGGCGAGAGTCCTAACCACTGTACCACCGACGCAAATGAACAAAAATGAACAGCCAGACGAATTATGGTGAAAACGTACACGTCTTGGGGTTCTAGTGTGTGAAAAAGGACTGCTGTGACATACAAACCGTCTCATGCTTCGCCAGATATCTTGTTGTTCTGAGCAAGCATCAAGTGTCCTGAGCTTTATCATATCAGGTTTAGTCCTTATCGTGAGATATTAAGAAACTATTGGTACTGAGTAGAAAGCAGTGTTGATTTGAACTTAGTTAAAAATTGGTTCATTATCAGTTAAAAGTGAGAAAATGCCTCAAAATTACAATAAGAATACACTAGTGATTTTTATTTCATACGTTGAATAGTAAGATTTCATCTAACTTGATGTGGCGTTTGAAAATTAATGATACCTACATTTCAGGTTATTAAAAATCTATTTAAAATACCTACAGGACTAGAAATTGATATAGTGAAAGCGATAGCGGTTTTAAAGGAGTAGAAATAAAAGTTTCATCTCTTTTTCAGTGCATGTTTCACTAATATTACCTAACTGAAAATAAATTGCTTTATGTGCCTGAAGTATCCTATCATTATTGTTGTTCGCTTGGGTTCCGAGTGGAGCATAGGGCTTCAACAGCACGTCTCCACTTTGTCCTATTCTCCGCTGTCGTCTTCATCTGGTTCAACGATTGTCCTTAATCTCTCATCTCACACTCTCTCCTCCATATCACCCTCGGACGACCCACTCGTCGTATCCAATTAGGATCCTACTTGAGTGATGGCATGGCGTGCGATGTCATTCGACGATGTCCTTGGCGTCTGCCCAGTTCATCACCATTTTCTCCTACCTGTTTGTTGAGCTACAGGTTCTTGGTTAGTTTGTTTCTATAGTTTCTTGTTGCTAATTCTTCCTGGCCAGCCACTTCACTTTTAGTTTGGAGCCAGCCAGCAAAGAAGGTAGTTGTTGATAAAAGTTTACACGAGCTTGTTGGAAATGCAACCTGAAATAATGTGTGGTAACTAAACTTACAGGGTATTTCCATGATAATTGATAGAAGTGTGGAGTTTTAAGCATTTGATGTATTCCGATATCTATATGCTATAGACCAATGTAAGTCCAAGAAATTCATGAACAGTTCAATGTAGCTTCTTTGGAATGAGTACTCCGGTCGATTAGGAAGAATGTGTCGTTACCATCAAATCAGTGTATGACTATTTTATTAACAAATCTGTAACCTTTCTATTCATACTTTTTTGAATCATAAACTGACTATTTTATTTGTTACCTGATGTCTATTTTCTAAAATGCAATTCGCTTTCTGTACTGCTTAGCTAAACCACGTAAATCTATGATGAAACGCCCAATTCCCGAAGGGGAATCATCGGACACAAGTATGGAATCAAAACCCCAGAAGACGTCGTTGAACTCCTTGATGATCAGTCGGTTAGAGGAAAAAGAAGAACTACAACACTTGAATGATCGTCTTGCCAATTATATTGAATACTTGCATAAAAGCATTTTCGGAAAAGAATTACGTTCTCATGTCGACCTACTGACAGAATCTTTAAAAGTAAGTGTTTGGTTTTTTGAGTATATTCACAGACGATATGTAATGAAAATTTGGATTAGCACTAACTGTTAAGGTACACAAGTCCACTGGAGTTGCTATGAATAAAGACAAAGTTGTTGATTCATACGCTGTGAAAAACTTAGGAGATAACAGCACATACTCATCTGTGCTGTAACAGAGTTCGCTTTGGCATCCGAATTTGAGTCATTATTTTATCTACGAATCATTATACTTTCAAATTATACTGTTTGGGGATTACTATGAAGGTCTTTTGGAAGTCAAGCAAGTGATGATGTGTTAGTTGAATTTGCGTTTCGCAATGATTCAGCTTGATATATTGACATGGCATCTTCATAAAAGTTGTGATCAGTGGTGTTGGAATGAGAAGAGATAAGGGGCACGTGATACTTGTTAACTATTTAAACTTACTTTAGAGATGGGTTACAGAGGGCTTATATAAGAAGAAAGAAGAACTGCACTGCGGTTCTCTGTCATTCACTTCAAACTACAGAAGCAGGTGAGTACCAGCTATCCTACTTTGATTTGAGCCGTAGTAACTGTGTCTAATTAGAAAAAAGGTCTCATGATGTAGCCTTAGCAAGTATTTAGAGATGGTGGCCAGAAATCAGTGTCTTATTTACCCGCCAGTGCGTGGCGATCCGAGATAGTGTATATCACTGATCATCTCATTTTACAAAAAGGACGTACTCCTGTGATAAACAGATAAGCATCTCAGGCTGATTGATGTGTTGTCTAAAATTTCAAGGGTCTGTGGTCATACGAAGACATGAAAGGAAGCTTGAGAAAAGACAAACCTTAGATAACCAAGAATGTCACAGATGTGGGCATACGGGTGCATTGACGAAATCCCTACTCTTCGACAGATTTGGGAAGACAAATTTGCTGGTGTCCAACACTTGTCACGTCTAATTGTGGTGGTGCAGAAAAAGTAATTTTTACTAACGAAAGTCATCGGAGATTTGTCATCCAAGGCTAATTTTCGACATTTACCGTCGAACTGGATCTACCTACTGTTGTGAACTTTTCTTATAGTACGTATCTAGTCATATTCATATCTCTACCGCTATTAACACTCTTTTTTTCCTTTATATGTTTAAGCCATTCCGGCTTCATTGTAAAATGAATAAAGCCTAAATTCTTGGTTCATTCGTCTTTTCAAGATTCAAGCATCACTCATCGTTCTAAGACTCAATCACCTTCGTAACAATTTATTCATTTTACAATATTCATGGAACGATTTTTCCGACCTGATCGGTTCGACGTAGAACCTAACGCAGTTGGAGCTGCCAAGAAGTGGGATCACTGGTTTGCGACTTTTCCTACTTCATTGAATCAATGGGATCCGAAAATCCTTCGAAACTACATATTCTCTTCAATCATATTTCTACTTCTGTATACGAATGCATTTCTGAATGCAAAACATACGAAGAAGCTATCGACACTCTCAAGAGTCTCTACATGCAGCCTTGCAACGAAGTGTTTGCTCGACACTTGTTAGCAACGTGTAAACAAGAATCTGGCGAAAATCTGGATCAGTTTGTTCGTCGACTCAAGTCGCTGACTACAGATTGTTCATTCAGGGCAGTTACAGCCGAAGAACATCGTAACGAATCTCTACGTGATTCATTCATCTCAGGTATACAGTCTTCGATGATACGCCAGAGGCTATTAGAACAGCGTACTTTAACTTTTCAAGCGGCATACGATCAAGCACGAGCTCTAGAGATGGCACATCAACAATCGCAGTCATACAACAATCCTGTTACACCTTGCGCGTCCATTTCTTTACATGATGTACCTCATTCATCAGATTCCACACCCTCCGTCAATGAAACAACCATTGCTGCCGTTGAATCCAAATGCTTTTTCTGTGGTAATCGTAGACATCCTCGTTCCAAATGCCCCGCCCGTGATGCAGTTTGCAAAGCTTGTGGCAAGCAAGGACATTTTCAGAAGGTTTGCAGGTCTGCGCCATCTACGAAAAAAGGTCCATCTTCAGTTAACTCTATAATTTCATCTCTCGTTGTGGCTTCAGCACCTCAAAGTCTCACTGATGCTGTTACGCAGCTTACTGTCAATGGGAAATCAATGCAAGCTCTAGTGGATACCGGAAGCAGTGAGAGCTACATCTCTTCCTCAGTTGTTCGTAAGTATAACTGGAAAGTCCATAAGTCTCGAAACAGAATCACAATGGCGAGTACGAATCTTACTAGTCATACTGAAGGACATTGTTTTCTATCCATCTGCTATAAAAACCACACTTATGATCTATTCAAATTTTCCATTCTTCATAATTTATGTGCAGACGTCCTTCTTGGACATGATTTTTTAAAACTTCACAAACACATTGAGATTCCTTTTGGGGGATCAAAGCCGCCTTTTTCTCTCTGTGGTCTACCTTGTGTTCGCGTCGACCTGCCTACCCTGTTTGAAAATCTTTCAAAAGACTGTAAACCGATCGCGATAAAATCCCGGCGTTATTCTCGTGAAGATGAAAGTTTTATTTCCACCGAAGTCAACCGGTTACTGCAAGAAGGTGTTATTGAACCTTCTAATTCTCCTTGGCGAGCTCAAGTTCTTGTTACGTCAAACGAACGCCATAAAAAGAGGATGGTAGTTGATTATAGTCAGACAATCAATCGATTCACTTTTCTGGATGCTTACCCATTACCTAGGATTGACGAAATGATAGAAAAAATCGCACAATATGACATATTCAGCACTCTTGATCTGAAGAATGCTTATCATCAAATTGCCCTAAGGAACGAAGATAAACCATATACTGCTTTCGAGGCTTGTGGGAAACTTTACCAATTTTGCCGAATTCCTTTTGGTGTTACCAATGGCGTAGCTTGTTTTCAACGCATTATCGATGAATTGATCAGTAAAGAACAACTCACAAGCACGTTTGCCTACATTGACAATGTCACTATCTGCGGCAAAACTCAGGAGGAACACGACAAAAATCTAAACAAGTTTATGGTAGCAGCACGCAATTATGGAATAACCCTTAATGATTCCAAAAGTGTGATCTCAAGCAGAAGCATACAATTACTCGGTTATGAAGTTTCAAAGGGGGTTATTAAACCAGATCCCGATCGGCTAAAACCTCTTCGTGATCTAGAACCACCCACAGATATCAAATCTCAACAACGGGCCGTTGGATTATTTGCTTATTATTCACAGTGGATCCCTCGCTTCTCAGATAAAATCCACCCATTGGTAAATAATCGGATTTTCCCTCTTGATATCGAAACTCGAAATGCTTTTGACAAACTGAAAGACGACTTAGAACGTGCAGTCGTTGTGGTAGTTGATCCGAAAGCACCCCTTGTTGTTGAAACAGATGCTTCAGATGTCTCAATTGCAGCTACATTAAACCAGAATGGTAAACCTGTCGCCTTCTTTTCTCGAAGCCTCTCTCGAAGTGAGAAACATCATTCATCGGTTGAGAAAGAAGCCTATGCCGTGGTTGAAGCAATTCGTAAGTGGAAGCATTACCTTCTCGGAAATCACTTCAAACTTGTCACTGATCAACGTTCAGTAGCATTCATGTTTGACAAGATTCATAAAGGCAAAATCAAGAACGATAAAATAATGCGTTGGAGAATTGAGCTATCCCCTTATCAATATGACATCATTTATCGTCCTGGAAGGGATAATCAAGCTGCTGATACATTTTCCCGTAGTTTCTGCGGTTCCTTGCAGTCAGTGTGCGACTTGAAATTTCTCCATGACTCTATGTGCCATCCTGGAGTTGTCCGAATGATGCATTTTGTACGCTCGAGAAACCTTCCATTCTCCCTTGACGAGGTGCGCAATGTAACCAGTAAATGCGTGACATGCTGTGAGTTAAAGCCTCAATTTTACAATCCCTCTAATTTCAAACTCATAAAAGCAACCCAACCTTTTGAAAGGTTAAGCATCGACTTTAAAGGACCTCTACCGTCAGCTAGCCGCAATCACTATCTGCTCACGCTGATCGATGAATATTCTCGATTCCCCTTTGCATTCGCCTGCCCCGACATGTCGTCTCAAACGGTAATGAATTGCCTTTGCCAACTGTTTTCGATTTTCGGTATGCCTTCTTACATACATACCGACAGAGGCGCTGCTTTCATGTCTACCGAATTACGGGCATTTCTTCTGGAGAAAGGCGTAGCAACCAGTCGTACTACCTCATACAATCCTCAAGCCAATGGGCAGGTCGAGCGCCTCAATGGAACACTTTGGCGTGCCATCACTCTAGCATTAAGATCACGGGGCCTACCAACGGCACAATGGGAGTCTGTTCTACTCGACGCCTTGCATTCCATCAGATCTTTGCTCTGTACTGCAACGAACGCCACGCCACACGAACGACTGTTTACCTATAACCGAAGATCGACATCTGGGACAACTCTTCCTACTTGGCTCACTGTACCAGGACCAGTACTTCTCCGGCGGAGTGTTCGTCAGTCCAAATTCGATCCCCTGGTTGAAGAGGTGGAGCTATTGAATTGTAACCCGCAATTCGCTCACGTTCGCTTCGGTAATGGACGTGAAGATACAGTTGCTCTTCATCATCTGGCACCCAAAGGCGAAGATATAGATCAAGTTGAAAATTCAATACCGGAGGGCGACGCAATTCCTGAGCAACAAGTAAATGGGGATGCGACCACTGATCCTAATATTCTTCGTGAAGAAAATACAACTGAAACGAACAACGGGCGTATTCTTTTGGAAAAACAACAACGTGTACGGCCTTACAATTTGCGTACCAGAGAAGCGTGACATAATGGCTCATTCCTTTTCAAGCCGCAGTGAATGTTGTGAACTTTTCTTATAATACGTATCTAGTCATATTCATATCTCTACCGCTATTAACACTCTTTTTTTCCTTTATATGTTTAAGCCATTCCGGCTTCATTGTAAAATGAATAAAGCCTAAATTCTTGGTTCATTCGTCTTTTCAAGATTCAAGCATCACTCATCGTTCTAAGACTCAATCACCTTCGTAACACCTACCCTGATTTCAAAACTCCGGTTCACATGGGTTGCAAAATCTGAAAGTGATGAATGATACGTGAACCTGTTTCAGACACTGGCATCCATGGAATGCTACTCGCGACATTTCTCTGCTGCGTTGTGGATCAGACTCCAAGTCAAAAACTCGGAGAGAGTGATCCCTTTAGGCAAACACCTACCTCGATTTTGGCTGTCTGGCAGTGTCTGAACCTTTGCACAATGTGACATTGTCTCTTAGAACCCGTATTGTACCAGATCTGTGTTTCAAATAATTTCAAAAGTAAAATTAGAGTTGATGACAACCAGGGGGTGTTTACCAAGAATAACTAACTGACGCTGAGGATTATTTATAGTTACTACGGGATTCTCTTTGACTTCGATTCCTGGGGCATTAGATTGATAGTCAGTTGACTTAGCCAGTAAATAATGGTTAATATATTCGTTTTAATGTGGACTCAGTTGTTTGAATATGCTTCTCCTAAGTGTGTATTTAGCATGCTCCTGATTTGGATACAACTATGCTACTGAATAGGTTCACACGAACTTCTAAGATTTTAGGCATTAACTATTTACTTATATGTTAAGCGGGGAGGCTATTCGTAAGAATGTAGATTCAAGTTTATCACGTAATGCAGTATCAAAATCAACGAGGTCCCGTGTCGATTCCTCAATTACGTCTTAATAGACGCCCATGGAAATTGTTTTTGGTTAATTGTTGAAAGGTCAAGTTGAGGCACTTCATTCGGTCCTTCTGTGTTGGACTCTGAGATGCAGTTAGGGTCAGTGAATAGTAGTCCCTTTAGGATCTTAGCCATTCCCATCAGGACCAATGTGCAAACATTGAAAGCTCCAATCTTATACATTGTGTTCAGAGGAAAGCTGTTCAAAATTTCAATAATTATTGATTTTTGATCAGAATTGCTAAGTGATACAAACACTGATTGTTTTATTTATTTAATTGCTTGATTTGGCTTTAATATTTTGTTTAACGCTTTAGTGGTCAATAAAGTCGTTGGTATTTGTCAGTTTCTCCATTATTTCTGTAATGGGTGGTTGTGGTGTATTCTGCGATTATTTAGTTCACAAGAATAATTTTACAAAGTAACACAATTTTGTATCTATACAAATTTTTCACGATGTTTTTTCTACTTGATCGAAATAATTAGTCTCTTCTATTGCCTACCACTGAGGAGCACATACACATTCCCTGATATCTAGCTATCGATCAAACGACGTGTACTGTGCAGTAATTGACTCTGCCCTCCTTCATAGCTGTGAGACAGCCATTGAAAATGGTAGAGATGAAAAGGCTATCTATCTTTGATCATAGGCGTCCACGTTCTTTACATAATGGGGTGAGTAATATTGAGGTTTGACGCTGAGTGTTAGGTGTGAGAAGGGTAAGTCAGCCGATGAAGTTGTGAAGCTACATCGATTACGATGGATAGGACACTTGCTGCATATGTCTAACCATCGCCTTCCTCTTTCTCCCTTACATTTCTGCTTATTATAGTTCTTCTGAATCTCTCCCGTCTACTTTTGTGTGCTACATGAAGTGTGACTGCGACCTGAAATATTTCACTTCTGTACAAAGTTCTATGTCGAAACTCTGTCAGTCAGTCTTACTGTCTATGGGGTCTATTCGAATAAATGTTTTACGACTATGCAGAATTCATTTTCGCACGTTATTTATTTGATTACAGTTAAGAGAGTATGAGGTCCTCAGTAGGCGCTTCGTCTTATTCTTTACTTGTCACTTCTAGTGCATGATATAATGTCGCTTATCGTCGTCATTTTAACTCATTTTATTTCTTTTGTATTCTATTCTTCTTGTGATGAATTTACTTATGTATATACAGGATAAATTAAATGATTATACCAAAGGTTTTGCCAATGAAGTTGAATTATTACGTCAAAATTTGAATAGAACAGCATGGGATTTAGCTAATTCAAAGAGTCAGTTAAACAAAGCTACTTCGGAGTTGGAAGAAACCGTTAAACAGCTAAAACATTCAAAGTCTAAAGAGAATGAATTAACTAATGAAGTGATTTCGTTAACTAATCAACTGTCTCAGCTGCAATCGCAATTAGCTGATTGTATTGTAAGTTCGCCTTTTATTATTTTGATTTTTGAAAGTCAAGTATTATCGATTTTTGGTTTGATTTTATTTTTTTTATCTAATTAAAGCTGATTTAAGGTGTTAGTCAAAATGTAATTTCAAACGGGGTGTAAAATTACACGATTAGTAGCGAGACAAAGAACTTTACATAACCAAAATGATGTGAGATATGATAGGATAGAATTTAATATCGGAAAATATTTTTAATTTAGAATGACAAGTGGGACAAGTGAAGTAATACCACTGACAGTTCAAAGTGAGAATACTAATGGTTTAGTAATTCCTATTGTAGCATTAGGAATATAGTATTCAGTGAAGAGACTCTTTTCAACGAGTTTATCAAGTTGTACAGTCGTATATATATATGGTTTTTAATCAGTTATATCCGGTGGGGGAATTAGATCAAAGGTGTGAATACATCAAATAATTTGGATAGTGTCAATAGAAGGTGGAGATTATCTGAAAAATGTGATATATTTGCGCCATACATTTTGAACAATCTGATCCCTCACACATTTATTTGTCAAGTCGATATATATGAAAAAAATTAAGGGCAATTAAGTTAAACAAAGTGAGAAAAAAGGATTTAAGAATGATGAACCCAACGTGTTTGATAATTCAATCAAATAAAGATTACCAAGGTAAGTTAGGAGTAATAATAAACTGTTTTTAAATACACAAAGGGGGGGGGGGGCTTAAGTTTATGAATAGACATAGTCTTTAGCATATTTCAATAAGCGCCGTTGATCATTTTTTATAGATGACCTTACAGGCTGTGTTAACATCAACCTTATGGTTCATCTCGATTTGATGTTTGGCTACAGACGAATTTGGTAGTCTGACACCTGTGTCTGTTGATTTTCCACAATTCGTTTGTTTTTTAACCATATGCTCTCCCACCCTTGCGTGCAAACCACGATTACTCATCCCTATGTATATATGTCCACACACACACATAAATTGGTAAATGGATTTGACGTAATCACTTGTTCACTTTTGAGGTTTGCAGTGGAGCATGTTTTTGGCTTTTTCGACAATTACAAGCCGGGCTGCATAATAGGTTCTACAGATGACCGAATTCAACCTTTGTCTCAAAATCGTACTGTTTATTTCACCGTTATATGGTAATTTAATGAAAACATTTTTCTTAGGGGCAGCATTAATTGTAGGTTTAAAGAGTAATTGACTTCTACACCTGTTTAAAATTTTTCAAGGATATCCGTTTTTAACAAAGGCATCCATCAAATAATAATAGTATGAAATGCAATTAAAATATTTGCGATTATAATCATTGTTAAATGTCAAGTAGCAAAACAATGAGTGTCATATGCACAAGAATTCATAAGATGTATAGATGTTGGAAAGGGGTGCATAATTATAGGATTAGTAGGCTAATTTAAAATGATACATAACATGGTGTGAAATTTCATAAGATAAAGTTCAATATTGCAAAACATTTTTTGGATTTAGAATGACAAGTGGAAACAAACTCAACGTGAGAATAATAATAATGGTAATCATAATCGTAGTAATGAGAGAAAGGTACATAGATTAACTAACAAAATACATAAATAAATAAATGGCTATCCGTCTACAGCCAAGGCAGAAGTAGTGATTATACATACTTCTTTTGTACACAAAGGTCTGGCTTGAATTCATAAATGACTAATGCCTCAGCTGTCTTTAGAAGTCTATAATTAAGCAAGTTAGCATGAATTCGATAGAAAATCTTAAAATCACGGCTAGGATTTGGTAGTGACAGAAGTTGATCAAGTACATTAGAAGAGAGCTTCACCCATCCATCCTTTTTCCCTTATGAAACAATGCTGGAATATGTTGTCGTATCCGTGGGAGAATCATTCTCTGGTTACAGCTAATCTACCGTCTTGCTCCTTTAGGACTGATAGATGCACATGGAGGAGGCCAGCTAATGGATGATATCTCCTACAAAGACGGAGAACAACTTACAGCTGGTAAAGGTCATTTGTAGTTTTGGAGCAGATAATGTCTTATGGACTGATTTAAAGAGACGATGTTCAAGCATTTCTCAAGCTTGATCACCTTTTAATTTCAAATTTGTGAAGATGGTTTTCTTTGGAACTGAATCAATGACCAGTTTAGATTGCTTATTTTTTGTGTTTAAGGCAGTAAATCTGTTCGGGTAACCGTCCTTATCGAGCATGTCTTTTAGAAAGAAAAGTTCTGCGTCAACGCGGTGCGAACTACAAATGTTTCTTTTCCTATAGTAGAGCGAATGAATTAAGTTCCTTTTTTTTGAAGATAGGCATCTAACTATTAAAATTAGTTAGCTGTCGATTCCATGTACGTTTCCAATGGATAGATCTTTTAAGAGATCCGTCATATCATCTACTAAGGCAGGCACACATCAAGACAAGGAATGCTTAGTTCAGGTTCTTGTTCTATGGTGAGCTGAGAAGAAGAAGAAGAATGGTAGTTGTTGATTGCAAACAAGATATCATCCACATTACTACGACAATAATAATAATAATAATTATTATTGTCACTGAACTGTTTCTGCTATTATTTCTCCTGTCCCACTTGTTATTCTCAATGTAAAATGTTTTTCAGTGTTGAATTCCGCCTAGTCAAACTTCCTACCATGTTAAGTAATGTTCTATTTGCCTACTAGTGGTGGTGTAGTTATACATCCCCTTCCAACATCTGTGCATTCTATGCATTATTCTACACATGACATTATTTATTTTGCCACTTGGTACTTGATATTTAACTATGATTATAATCACAGGCATTTTAAAATTGCATTTCATACTACTGTTTTTATTTCAAGTATTCACACTTTGTTTAGATTGCCTAACAGTGTGTAATTTCTTAGAGAAAGCCATGTGTATACGATTGTACAGCGCGATAATAAAAAGTAATTTGATAGTGCTTTTTTCGCCTACTAGTCGATGTATTGTAATTGCGTGTATCAAATGTGTTGTATACATACAAATGATTAAGAATGTGATACAGTTTATCCCCTATGAATTTCGCCAAAACAATAAAAACGAAGTGTTGGTTTTCCAGAGATTTGCTTGGTTACAGGATTTCATCACCAGCTAACATCAGTTAGAGAACCATTGGAAAACCGGGAGTACTTGAAGTTGTTTAGTCCTAGTTCGAGACTCTTCAGTAGTACGGTCCTACCGGGGTTCGAACCCTAGACCTTCAGCTTACAAGGCGAGCTCTTAGACCATTCAACCATTGACACTCAATCCAGTGGTCCATGAAGGGTCCCAAGCTAGGAGGAAACAGCTCTACAGTAGTATTCCCTTGTTTTCCAATGGTTCTCTAACTGATGTCAGCACGGGATCGATCAGTCGTGAAAACAATAGACAAAAGAGCTCAATTCTCCTTAAGTTTGCTGAAGCCATTTCCATCAATCGCCTGAAACCTGATTTATGCGTCCAGAAAGAAGCGGTTATCAGTCTTTCTTTGCCCTGGTAACTGGATATTTTCACCTCTCCTTCTTCCGAATGTGAAATGCTAAAAGTTTCCATTATGTTTGATTATTATTGTTCGGAATAGTGGTTAATATTGCATATTTATATGTGTATATATTTTTAGTGTATGCATATATTGATCGATTGATTTTTGTTTAAAATGTACTTTGTGCAAGTATGTCAAAATTGTTGTTGTAGATATATTTAATAATGTCTTTGTCATGTAAGAAGCTGACGAGAAGGCAACGAAATAAAAGATGGTACCATTTTATTTTGCTAAAACTGTAGTTCTTGCTTTGTTTAAATAAGACATAAATTATCTCAGCCCCGTGTATTCGCGCAACACACTTCGAACACAGTATGATCACAAATATCTGTCGTAGACAATAATGCGTTAAGGGACGAAAGAATATATATGGGTCAAGTCCAAAGGTGATATTGAAGGTGAAAATAACGATGGGAATCAATAAACTATAAAATGGAGATAAACAATACACCTGTCTTGGCATCAAAACAAAATTTATAAATGAAGGTTCAGCGTGATGGATTATTATCTGTGGAACACATAAAGGTGGTTTAAGCTTCCGGTTACCTGCAGCTTCTACAATGTTTAGGATACACCTCCAACAATCTTAGAGATAAATTTATGTATCCTGTATCTGTAACGTTTCACAATCGAAAAGCTATGCTGTCTGTGAAGTGCAACACCTCTCCCCCACCACGGAGTGACAAACGCGATAAGCAATTTCATTATGTAAACACCTGCTGTTTTTATAATTTTATACGCTTATCAAGTCTAACAAGGTACTCACAGTTTTGTTATCCTTACCAATTGGCCAACTTGACAACAATATAAAATTGACCTCACTCTGAAGCTGGGGTTTTTGTAAATTCTGGTTAAGTATTTCTATTTTAATAAAGTTATTAGCAGCATTAAATGACAAGACGTCAGTAAAAGCAGTATCGCTGTTGTCTGTTTTCATTAACTGTGAAATACAAAAACTTTTGATTTTCAACTGAACAGTTGTTCACTCGTTCATCTCCTTCTGGTTTACACTATGAGGATATTTATTTTTAATGCAATTTTGATTTTCCCTTTGGTTGATTGTACCGAAATGTTCAATCTCTGTGTTGACATGTGTCAACTCCAAATACCGGATGCCTGAGCACAATGTTTAAGGATTAATTTGACGTAATCTTTGGTGGATGGTGGTGGTGACCAGCAGTGGACTGCAGGATGCGCCTTTCGTCCTTTCTGTGACTCATCAGCTATATGTACACCTGCATTCCCGGGTGAGTGGTGGTGGCGATAGTGGTGTTCCCTCTGAAACTCGAACCCCACCCCCTATCCTTCCCTTTAGTACCCATTACTTCGAACGCACTCAAGTTTTATCTACTGGACCATTTTGACCACAAGAGTCACACATCTAACTTACTGGAGTCTGTTGTATTTTTTTTTTTGATTGTGTAATCGTGTTATATGTGATAAAGTTTTCAGTTTTTTTTATATGCTGTTTTGTTTTTCTGTTTGCACTTATTTATTTCTACAAACAAGATATTTCACCAAATTCTTATTTTTTTTTTATTTTCAAAATTTATTTCATCATCTATGTGTGTATGTATCATCTCTAATCTAAATTGATTAAATGATGGATGGATGATATAGCATTGTAAAACAGATTATGATTCTCTGATAAAGCAACACAAAATACTGAAGACTCAATTAGAAAATGAAACTCTCCTGCATACAGATACAAAGAATCAACTGATTACTGCTTTAGAACAGTTAGAGTTTAAAGATCAATTGTTAGATAAAGTAAGTTAAACATCTTTTCCCCTACTTTTTTTAAAAAAAGATAAAACTAATACTGTAACTGAAATGGTGTGTAATAAATTTCATGTGACAAAGTTAATAAAAGAATGTTATTGTTTGAGAGGCAGCTAATAATACACTATCCAGTTAGTTACTCAGGCTGAAGTAGTAGTGTAACAATAGAAGACAGGGGCCAGGAACAGATCGTCTGTTAAGGAAATCAACATATATTGATAGATTTTCATGTACATATTATGGATCATTGTTAGCAGAAAAATACAGTCCTCTGACTGGTTGTTTCTCACAGAAAGTTAACCTTGAATCTCTTTGTAACTGTTACTTGAATGTCAAATCATATGTTAACTGTATCCGCCTACGCAAAGCCTTTGTTCTCATTTTTCTCACGACCAATATTTGGGACATAAACATTGACGTAAATTACTGTTCACCGATTTTTACTAACAGCCAGCTCTCACCACAGTAGTAGCAATTGTGATAGTGGAGCAGCTGGACTCGGAACCGGCACCCCAATGGCTGAAAGTTGAGTGAAAAGAACACGGAGTTCAGCAAAGATATCTTTTCGGCGATTTCATAAATTTACATAAATACAATTATTACTCAATTCCACATAATTACGAAGGTGATAATTATTGTCAACTTTATATGGATTATAAAAGGCTTAGAAACAAAAATTACGTAGGAATACAAGGAATTACAAGTGTGAACAAAATGAGCATGGAAACAAATTGGAATAATAATTTTCAGTCGTAAAAGATCTCTCATCATCTCGCTGGCCCACCATACCAGAAGAATTTGTAACGATGACTGTTTAGAAGAAGAGCTCCTATTTCTCATAAGCATCCCGGCTTAAAATGGATACCTACGGCGTTTCGTTGAAAAGGAACATGAAACCAAAGCCAAAAAGGGAAGAATGCACTTCAATGCCAAAGAAAACACTTTATTTGAATCTGGAATTTAGGGGAGACCTAGAAGTAGATATTCTTAAAAGGAGAATCTCCAGTTCCCTGAAGAAAACTTTTCCTGCATCAACTCTAAGAGTGATATTCTGTAACCGCCCACTACTTCGAAGCAACAGGAAGCACAGACTTCCGCATATGACCACTTCAATGTGCATGTATCAGTTCATCTGCTCATGTGGAACTAGGTACATAGGTTGTTCTATGCGAGCAGGTCTTATCAAAATGTGTTAGAGAAAGTCATCCGTCATGGCTGTAAAGAGGAGGCACTGGTTCAATCAGAACCGCGATTGTACAGCTTTTGAAAATAAAATTGCCGAAAAGATATATTTGCTGAACTTCGTGTTCTATCCCCTCTAATGTCCTGATGGATGCTTTCCACGATTTGAAAGTCGAGTGTTCAAGCCAATGCGTGCGTGTCACGTCTCCACAGGTAAAGTATGCGACTGTTTTGACAGTTACAAATTTCTTTATATGTCAAGAAAAATGTCTGTAATTTAGTTAACTCGCCTTTCTCAGCTAGTGGATTCACAAATCTTTCTCTTCAAGTCGCACTATTATCAAAAGTCGAGAACATGCATTGGAGAGGAAAATCAACTATTTCAAATTGAACAAAGTTTGGTAAATTTCACTAGTCTTATTTGTTTTCAGTCGTTTATATACGGTAGATTTTTACAATGAAATGTACCAACATTGGCCATCAGCTGACTTCATTTAGGGAACCACTGAAAACTACCAAGAGGAGTATTGGACAACTGCTTCATCCTAATATCTGACCCATCGGCGGTACGCACCAACCAAGGCTCGAACCCAGTAGCTTCCAGTTACAAAGCAAGCTCGTAGACTATTCAGTCACTGATATCCGGCTCAATGGTCACCCCATGAATTCTGACTTCTACTAATTCGTGAAACCTCTCTCCAGTAGTACTCCCTGTTGGTTTTCAATGGCTATCTAACTGATATCAATCTGTGGGAAAACTTCAAATAAGTCAAATTCGTACAAACGAACTCTTGAAAATTAATCTGATGCTCGATACTGGCTGACTACAGGATTAAGTTGCTTGAAGTTCTAGTGAGAAAGGCGTGTGGTCAGTAGGATTCATCCCGTTGGGAGTGAGGACAAATACTCCTGCCGATGACGATGACCACTGGTAGTCGTGCTGAAATCACGAATTAGTAGAATTTGGAACTCATGGGCTGTTGAATTGTGTCCTAATGGTTTGCGAGCTTGCCTTGTAACCTCATAGTCCTGGGTTCGAATTCTGGCGGTGGATGCATGCTGCTGATGAGCCCCAAGCTAGGATGAAACAATTGTTCAGTACTCCCTGGTAGTTCCCAGTGGTTCTCTAACTGATATCAATCCGTGGTTAAACTCGAAATAGGTGATTAACCATAGCATACTAACGCCGCATCAAGAAAAGTATCTAGTGTCGTGTGCAGGCTTGTTCATACCATCTGGTTCATTACCACTGTGCAATACCATTCTTTTTTCCACTTTTTTCTAACTTCATTTGAATTTTCTCATTGCATATTGCATAATTTGTCCAACTGTTCAAATTGTCTTTGTTCTTATTCCTTTTTTTCCTTCTAACAACTTATAGGAACGTAATATCTGGAATAGTGAATCGATTCAATTGCATTTGACATCAGTAATTAAAGGCGCTGAAGCGAATTATAATGACAGATTACAGGAATTATTATATGAGTTACGTTCACAAATGGAGGCACAATATGATGATGCGAAAAAGAAAATAGAAGAAGGCTTGAAGGTAGGCACTGTCTCTTTTGTTTGAACGCCATTTAGAGAGTAAATGAATCTTAATTTACTATGTGTATCCATCTATTTGTTTATTGACGATATCGTCGTACTTTGCGGTAGCATGCAGGCTGCTCTAATCGCGCTTAATTAGCTAGCGATCCGTGTCTGTAAGTATGGTATGTGTTTTGCGCCGTCTAAGTGCTAAGTACTGTTAAAAGGTTGGCAAGAGCTCGTACCTGAACTCATTTTTTAGGTGAACCGCTTGAAGTTGTCGATAAATCCTCATGTATCTGAGTAGTTGTGTGAGTGCTGGTGGGTGTGTGACAGACAAGATTTCCATTCATATCATGAAAGCTAGGGTGGCTAATTTGAGCTACCTCTGGCTCCGTCGCGTCGTTAACCTGTCTGCCGAAAGTCGGATTTACAATGCTTCGGTACGCGCTGTCTTGCTCTATGTCCGTTATACCTGGCCTCTCCAAGCTGGGGATGTGTGTCGGCTCTACGTCTTCGCAGGATTGCCTGCATTTGTTGGCGTCATCTTGTGAGTGATTTCTAGGTCCTTCAGTGTTTGTGTTTGGACACAGTAGAGACCACCATTAATTGATTATCGTCATCTGGAGACACTGGCTTCGGTAGCTTGGTTATGTGCTACGAATGTCACCCTAGAGGCTTCCGTACAGGTCTCTCTTCGCTAGCCAGCCCTGGAACAGGATGGAAAAAGCACAGTGGTGGTCAGTCTATGAAGTGGCGTCGTGGGATGTAGGATCAGTTGGTGAGTCACAACTCCCTGGTTGTGGTCCGACAGTAGGTCGAATGGGTGCTTTGAGACGTCCTCCAATATGGCTAAGATTTCCTTCTTTCTTTCCTTTCTGAATGCTGTTTGGTCTTGTCAAATATAATTACTTTCTTCCCAGAAGAAGTCCTTTATTCATTCTCTGTCTATTTTTTATATATTGTTATTATTGTGTGACGGGTTTTCTTGGTGCCTAGACTGTATCAAGTTTTATGCTTTAAATAAAAAAATAGTCTTTAATTTAGCGCAACAGCAAATATTATCATAACAGGACTTAGCATTACAGATCAGCCATCACGTTTGTCGTGTTATACCTAGTACGTTTGTGGAATGATGCAGATTGATACGAGGAAGCGGTTAAAATTGAAGTCAACATTTTAAGTCAATGACTGCTGCATAGGTAGAAGTGTTTATCCGTCAAATCTGTGCCTAGTTTACGCCATGGACGTGAAATAACCTCATTGGACAACTTGTTTATCCTTGGATCAGTCGCCAACCAATCAGAACAATTTATCGTTCTCTGACCTAACCGGACATTAATGTCTCAATATGTTTAAATATGGTGTTTTGTTTTTTCATAATGAAGGTCTGTTACGCAGTCTCTTATCTTCTTCTCTTACGATTTTTCTGAACCTACACATCGTCATTCTTCGGTTAAAACAAAATCACTTAAGTTTGAAGTGAACGGTATATGCGCTACAACTTTTTTTGCATATCTTAAACTGCTATTCAAAATTTCACGCACTCTTCTTTCAAGCTCATTTATATGACAACTGATCAGAATACTCGATTATTCAAAGAAAATAAATATTTACTCAGTAATCGGATTTCATAATTTGGCTAATGAACTACCCAACTCTACTAATCCGGAAATAACAACAGATTGGGACTTATTCTTACGTCGAATTTTGTTTCAGTCTCACTCACTCACTCACTCACTCACTCACTCACTCACTCACTCACTCACTCAAATCAGGTTATTAAAAGGTCAATTCTTTAAGTGAATCAATTGAAGGCGGTAGTCAGATGAAAAACTTCTACATTGAAGTGTTTCGTCATTCCCCAATCGACTTCCACTGAACGGTCTTCTTCTCAGCCTATTTCCAATCTGTCTCCGTTTCTTTTCACGTATTTGTTGCACTGTAGGTTGTTGGTTGATTCGTTACCAAAGTTTCTTGTTTATATTTTCTGGCCGGTCATCTTATCTTCAGTATGGAGCGAAGGCAAGTGTTGGCGAAAGCAGATGGCCAAATTTTTGAATCCTTTTTGTCACTCGAGTACTATGTCTCCAAATCACATAGAATCACTGAACTGATATCAGTATTGACTGATTTGAGGACAGTGAAGCGCTCTCAGTGTTTTTCCAATCTTGATTGTCTCTGACATCTTCATCCGTGTTGTCGCTTGTAGTTCAGACGACTGCCTTGATAATTGGAAAGGGTGACTTTCTTCAGATTCCTCCCATTAATGGTGGTTAAGGTTTGTGGTGTTGTCGTTGGCTAGGCGTCTTCTCTGTGTTCCCTAAAAATGCTGTCTTCACTGCCTACCTCTTCTACCCACTTGTTGGTTTTCGCTCGTAGATCTTTGAGTTTGTTTGACACACCAGATACAAATCATCTGAAAAGTTCAGATTATCTAGAATCCTTTTGTCAGTTCAACATATGCCCGTCTTCTTGCACCTCTCACAGTCTGTTGTATAATCCAGTCCACCACAATTAGGAGTAAAATCGGTTGTAGTAGTACTTCTACATTCTTAGTTACAGTAGTAGCATTAGCGGCATTTACAATGACCGGTTTTGTAATAAGCGTTGTTACGCACGGTGTGCGAGTGAATGTATATATATATATATATATATATATAATCATTTGAATGGCGAAGTTGAAGTAGCATAGCCAAAGTCAAGGTTTTTCGAAAGTCGACCTTCAGGAAGCGATCAAATACAGGGAATGCTATGAAATGTCGTTCCAAATCAAATCATGCTGGCCTTTTTAGACTTGAAGAGGACAGATACAGTATTCTACTGATTTACTAGGTAATTTTTCTACAAATCTATGCTGTTAGGTAGGGTTATCGCGTTGAAGATGAAGGTTTAGGTTTAAAGTTAGGATTAATGTGAGAGTTAGGAGTAGGTTGGAAAATAGTGTCAGATATTTCAACGGATTTCAAAGTACTCTGGCCCCTGCAGTCACCTAGATGAATGGGTTTATCGTGTATGGTACGATTTCTCTATAGATCATCTGTGTACTGGCTGGGAGACATCCCCTCAACACATAAGCTACAAATATACAGTGTAATATAATGTTTGCAATATTTTTTAGTGTTTTTTCAACGATCATTTGAGTTTTTTGTGCCTAAATTCTGATTGGTTGTTCAAGGTCACCGTGTCGTTTTGGCTATGATAGTTTAAATTTGTCATTTGAATTCTACGAAGTCGCATTGTTTACAAATATTTTTATATCTCACTCTTGTTTATTGGTCAAGATATGTGGTCACATGGTTGTTGGGATGACACCAGAAGACTGTCTGAGTGAACTTTTTGATCAGTTTTTAATCAGTTGTCATCTATGCATCTTTATCATAATACTTCTTTTATTTGTGTTTTTCTTTTTCTTTGTACATTGAATTACACTAGGCTAATTTAGATGCAGAAAAATTACGAACATCTAGTCTAGAGAAAGATCTCATAAATAAACTCAATGAATGTCAACGATTATCACTCTTAGTCTCGTCTCATACAACTGAGTTGTCCGGTTGTCGTAATGAATTGGAAGCTGCACGTAAAGAAATACAAAATCTTGAATGGAAATTACGAGTTAGTGAGGATAAATTGAACGGAGTCGCCAGTCATCATCGTTCTGAAATCGAACGTCTTCTAGGCCTATTGGCTGATAAATCGACTGAATGTGCTGAGTTGGCTGGGATTAAAATACAGTTAGATGCAGAAATTGCAATGTACAGAAAGTTGTTAGAATCTGAAGAGTCTCGGTAAGTAGTAGTTATGTTAGTGTTTGTTACACTTACCTGAGTTTTATTCAATTTTGCATTTTTTTCGTTGTTGACGGACTGTATTAAGTCAGTCAGTGTGAAAAGTGAAATTACTTTGGCATCTTTGCTGATATGTTACTTAATAAAAGTTATCATAGAAAATGTCATACATAAATCACGGAATATACACATTAGATCATAGGAATTATTAAAAAGACGGTTGCAACGAAGTCATCAGCTAGGCCGTACATTCGTGTATTTATCTTTGATAAATGGGTGGGAAAGTTCCAGAATTATTTCCGGTTAGGGGTCAAATTAATAAAATTATAGTTAGGAATTAAAATACCATAATAAACAGGGGAATGGATAAAGCTCAAACAAAGTAGCATCATAATTACTGGGAAGATTGACATTAGGGGTTAGAAATGTAGAAATAACAAAAATATACAGGATGTTTGGATGAAAAAATCTAGTGGGATCATAACTAATGTGATGGATAATTGTTTATGCAGTTAGGGACTAAATGTGTAGAAATAATAAAACGACTAAATAGACAGGAAGTTCGGATATGAAAATATGGTGGTGGTGTAAATAGGGATTAAGAAAAACTTAAAAATTAGATGAATAAACAGGAAGTTTGGATAAAAAAGTCAATGGGATAGTCACTATTAGAAGAATTACCTGTTTATGGTGGTCATGGTAGGGACAAGGGTTGGATGTATTTCTTTTGAGCACATATCATGGGTTTGAGCTTTCCGAAGGCTAGTGCCTCAGCTATGCCCAGATGTCTAAATTTTACTCCCTTTGATAGGTTTGATCGAATCTTGTATATTATTGTGAAGGATTTTTCGAATGGCGCTGATTGTCCTGAATTGAACAGATGTTCTGTCACTGCACTTTATACACGTTTTCGATCTCCTCTTACTAGCCAGGCTGGGTAGTGTTCACGAACGCGTTTTTCAAGTTCGTGCATGATACGGCCGATGTACTCAGCTGCACAAGGGCAGGTAAACTGGTATATGTACGTTGAAGTGGCCCAGTGCGACAGCTTGTCTTTCGCGTTCTGGCTGAACGGTTTCTTGCAGGAAAACATCAGTCGTAGGCTCGTGGCGAAGTATGTTATCCTCAAAGATTTGAAGAGGCGTTTCCGAAGAGTTTCTGCTTCAATGTCACCTTTGAATTCTAGATGAAGCAGAAGTATTTTCTTTGGGGCGGATTGGACTTGTTCGGAAGTCTTCTTTGATTTGAGATTCTTGTCTATGAACCTAGGCGGATAACCGTTTTCCATCAGGGTTTTTCGAAGATTACGCAATTCTTCTTCAACCGCTTCTTCGCTGCATATCTTCCTAATCCTCGAGGAAAGAGCGTATATCAGGTTCCTCTTTCTACTCTGGGGCACGAAGCTTTGAAAGTTGATGAATTGTCCATTCCATGTAGGCTTTTTGTATATGGACCTTTTCAGAAAGTTGTCGGCGTTTCTTGTCAGATGAATGTCGATGAAGTGGAACATTCTGTCGGATTCAGCCTCAAGAGTAAAGTCAATGTTTGGGTGGACGTCATTGAAGATTTGAAGTAGGTGTTTTAGATCACAATTCTCATCATAAATAATGAAAGTATCATCGTTGTATCTCTTGTAGAGATAGAGGTCGTCGATATTTGATGATAAGGTATTTTAATAACTAATTGTAATCTTATTAATTTGACCCTTAACCAGAAATTATTCTGGAACTTTCCCACCCATTTATCATCGATAAATACACGAATGTACAGCCTAGTTAGTTGATGACTTCGTCGAAGAGAAAATTTTCTTCGTTGCAACCGTCTTTTTAATGAAGGCCATAAAATGACGTTTGGGCTGTATATTCTTGCGCTTATGATAAATGGGTAAAAAAGTTCGAAAACCTATTTCGCGTCAACGGTCAAATTAAATAAAATTGCAAAGAAGTGATGCTGAAGCAGAAATTCTCCGTAACAGCTTTTAGAAATCTCTCAGCATAACCTACTTCGCCGCTAGCCTACGAATGCCATTTTCTTGCGAGAAAACTATTCAAATAACCAGCATGTGAAAGACAAGCTGCTGCGTTGAGCCACCACCATCCCACATCAGAATGCATATACTAGTTCACTTGCTCGTATAGAACTGAGTACATTGGCTATACCGTATGTCCCCTCGTAAAATGCGCTCAGGAACATTATCCAACCTGGCTGACTAGCAAAAAAGAGAGAAAGCAAGTGTTTATGTGGTTCAGTAGCATAACATGTGGTGAACTCAGGACATCCTACTCAATTTGAAAAGTCCTTTAATGTCATATGCAAGATAAGATCGGATTATGAAGTCTCTGAAAGGGGGTGAGATCAAGGCATCTGGGCATAGCTGAGGCACTTGTGATCCGAAAATTCAAGCCGACGTTACACATTCGAAATAAGTAGGTCCAACCGTTGTTGTCTCTTCTGTGGCCATCATAAAAAGTCAATTCTCTCAATAATGACTAATGCTATTACCTTTCTTATCCAATCTTCCTGATTTATCTCTGTTATTTTTATGTTTCCTAATTCCTAACTGCATTACTATGCTTTTTTATCCGGAATATCTGTCTATTTTGTTATTAAAACGTTTTTAATCCCTAAATGCAAGAAAAGTCAATTTTCTCAGTAATCTGTGATTCTACTACGTCTTTTGACCAGATATTCCTGTTTATTACACTTTGTTATTTTATTAATTTGCCATTTAACTGGAAAAGGGTTCTGCACTTTCTCACCAATTTACTATAAATATACAAATGTTATAGCCTAGTTGACGCTGACATTGTCGAAAAGAAAATTTTCATCGTTGCAAACATCTTTTAAAAGTAATCAATAATTGTTTTTATCACAGTTCGTCCAAGTGAATCCACAAATCTACATAAATATTTTAAGCATTTGAACTGTGTATCAGACCGAGGAAAATGTTGTTTGTTAGTCTGGCATTTGATGATCTAAATGTAGTACAAAGATAGTTTAGGGTAGGGAATATTACAAACAAAGGATAATAATACTAACTGATGTATTAATTTGGAGTTTCACTAGAAAAAAAACAAACAAACAAACAGGTAGTTATTTATAGACAATAAGAAACCTGTTCAGATGACCAATCTCTGTTTCGAGTAGGGAAATGACATGGATTACACTGTCAGAGATACGTTTATAAAGTACCTTTATTTAGTACTAAGGTCCACGGTCAAAGTTCCAGGAATAAGCCATTGACTAGTTATTATTCTCTGTCTAAAGAAACACGAAAAGTTGGTTAGCTATAATTGGTAGTAAGAAAATAAAGGGAAAGGAGAAGAAACAGGAGATGAAAGTAATGTTGTTAGTGGATGATTGACAAGTAGTGGAATCCAGGATTCATAATATTTCATCCCACATGGGACTCCTCATATGGGAATGTACCTGTATTCTCCAGTGAGAGAAGAGTAGTAATGGAAAATGTCAACAGAGGCTTAATATTGTGTTTCAATCAATCTACAGGAAAATCAGAATTCAATTAAAAACAAACAATACTTCATGCTCGTCGCACAAAAGGTGGCTCTCTTCGTTTACGTGTTCCAGTGGGGATAACACCTTATCATTTGAAACGATGGGTGGTACTGGGTTTGAGTCTCAGGGGGAACACTATCATCCATCCAGCCGACACATGTAGTCACAGACTGAACATTTTAGTCCAATCAGTCGGTTGCAAATAGAAGACAAAAGTAGCAGGAGAATTACAGATATTCTATCAAAATAAAGATTAAGGTCTCGGTATCCTATTAGTATTGAATGTGTAGTTGGTTATTCTTTCACTGTTGTTGCATTTATCACCATTATTGTGGCTAACCATTTACGGACTTTTTTTCTAAGAAATAAACTTTGCACCTGTGCTACACATTATTGTTCACTGCGCTTTATTTTTCATTTATTTTCACTGTACCACAGTGTTCGACTTCAATACGTGTAAATTGTTTTTTATTTTCCCCTCACAAATTATTCAGCCTTCATATATCTCCGGACGTAAAGATGACAGGTGTACCAATCGTTCGTACATCTATTAGTAGTAGTACTACCAAACGGTCACGTGACAAGCGTACATCCTCAGTATTAGTTGACCAGCAACCGTCACCACCAATAGTTAAAAAGCTGCATGATGTTGACTTAGATGTTGTTGTTGATTTGAGTAAATCTGACCTAACTCCAAGCCGACATCAACGTCTAACGTCTACTCCTCTATTCCGCGTTCCATATTCACCGCATGCTGCCACTGCTGATGGTGATGATGATCTGTCTATCACACAGGAGACTTTACACTCAAAGCATACTTCACACTTGAAAACAAAAACTGTCATCTGGCCGACAGAGAGTAAGCTCAAGTTGGATAAAACTGGTTTATCCACATCTTCATCAAGTTTAATTGGGAATTCTGTACGCATAACATGTCATTCTGATGGTCCAATACACTTTGCTAGTGCTGATCCTGGAGACGGTTTATTACGTGTTTATAATGCCAGTGAAAAGGTGAGTGCACAGTGTCTATAAAATAATCGTCTTACATTATTATTATTATTGTTCCCTTGGGTTCCTAGTGGAACATAGGGCTTCAACTACACGTATCCACTTACTTCTGTCTTCTACTGTATTTTTCACCTGCATCCATGTTAGTCCATACTGTTTCAACTCCTCTTCACACGATCTCCTCCACGTCACCCTTGCACTGACGTTCCACTTGCCGCTTCCCTTTCAGCCTGGTTCCACTCGAGCAATGGCCTGACGCGCGCGCAATGTCACCCAGCGGTGGCCTTCTCAGCGGGTGTCCAATCCATCTCCACTTTCTCGTGCATATTTGTTGGTTGGTGATTGGTTCTTGTTTTGTTTGTTTCCATAGTTTCATGTTGGTGATTCTTTCTGGCCTGGCTATCTGATCTTCAGTATAGAGCGAAGATAATTGTTGGTGGATAAAGGTCTGCAACAGGCTGTTGGAAATATTTTTTGTGACCCGCCCGTCAAGTTTCTGATCCGTATAGTAGAACTGGCTTCTATACGGAGCTTACATTACTAGATTCATTTTTATTTAATTTTCTTTGTTTTCTACATTGTCTCTACAACTATTGAACCATCATCATACACAGGTTCGCATTTCAAATATGTCTAGACAGTATGCCTTATGCTTCCATTATATCAACTTGATATGATTATGAGCAATAGTTTGTGCTCGAAACGTCATCAGTTCATATAACTGTAAACACTGTGCGATTTATCAAAATAAAATCTTATCTATAATGGAATTATACTCTACCACAGTGCCCAAGTTTTATACTTATATCAGTATGCATTATGAGTTTACCAACTTACTTAAGACACCTTGTTTTGAAAAATGCTTATCTCAGATTATAAAATGCTAACACTGCATGTAAATGATGTAGCATATAAAGCGCCAACCACCCCCTAACTTTATCTTTCACTTCACAAAGGTTTATTTCATCTGTGTATAGATTCGATATCCAGCCGATGCATTCCTAAACCTAGATTATCCAGTAAAGTGGAAAGGTTGAGTGTGTATGTGACTCTAGCAATCCCACAGCGTAAATATAAAAAAAATACTTTTGATGGGACATTAGTCAGTAGCTAGTGTAATGTTTTCTAGGCCTATTTTCGGTGCAGACTGAATTCTATCAGTCAGCTACCATGCTAGGTGGTGACTCGCCATCACATTGTACTGTGAATTGTTGGTATTAGATGGTTGGAAACAATCGGCCACAGGAGGAAGCCTTGGACTTAGGCATTGGAAGGGACATGAGTTCCTTCGATGTTGCAGATACGCCTTCCTGATGACTGCCAACTAGCATAAAGCTTAGATCAAGTGAGGCTTCCTGTGGCCAATTGCCTCCAACCGTCTAATACCAATAATAAAAAGTTCACTGCTACTGAAACTTAAAAGCTTAAGCTTGAAGGGGCCTATGTTCCACTCGGAACGCTGAAGGAGTAAAATAAAGTGTTATTGTATAGTGTTCAACATACAAGTAGATACCAATATTTGACTAACTACGTATGAGGTTGCCTGGAGTTCTGGAAAGAAGTCCTGCACCCAGTGAGATGCATCAAGTCGGGTGTAAGGACAAATTCTCACTGAGGACTGTGGCTAAAGATCGCGATATATATCTCCAAAAGACAGAAGTTAGAATTTTTGAGTCATTGGATTCCGTCCCAGTAGCTGAATAATAGTCAACAGCTTCTGTTCGTATCCTGTAGGACGAGGAATGCGTACACATTTCAAAGAGTACGAAACTAGTGCAAAGCAGTTATCCATCTCTGTCTAGTTTCTTGACGGTTCTGTGACTGATAACAACGGGCGATCTAACTTAGAGCAGATGGTTACACATGCTGGGTGTGTGTGTGTGTGTATGCAAGTGAGAGCACTTATATTCTGTTAGTACGTGGAACTTGATTCGTTTTCCTTTGTTTTTTCAAGTTCTGCTTAGATTTCACTTCTTTCAAGAAAGACTTTGTGAATAAATTGCTCTTTACATATATTAGTTTAAAAGAGTACATATTCAGGAATTGTCATTGCTTTCCGGTAAGCGTCCATCTTGCAGTCATTGAACTAGAATCCTCACGCAACATCATTGTTCGATATTCTTGTATGAGAAATAACCAAATATCCAGTATATTCATATTTTTTTCGTCTATATCACGCCACTTGAGAACAATTATAGTAAATTTCCGTATTGTTCCGTACTAGCAAATACAGAATGGACTTTTGAAGCCACCTCTGATGAGCATATACTTATGGATGTGATCAGCAGAAAGACAGACTTACTTATTTACTTGTTCATTTTTTTAATGAATAATAAAACTGACGAGGGTAAAGAATAGATGATACCACAGTCAAATGACCGTGAATCATCCAATCAGATCGCTCAGCATTACAAATGGAATACTTTCGCATAATCTTCGTTACAAGCCTCATCCTGATTCAGGGTAAGAGGGGGTTAGGGTAGGACTAAGGTAGGGTTATGGTTAGGGTTGGGATGAAGTTTGCAACGAAGATTACGGTCAACATCCATTTAAAACGCTGAGCAATGTGACTATCATCCCGACTAAACATAATTTCTTATATTGTGAATGTCAGTTTCGACCTACGAGCACATGGTTGGCTGATTCAAGGTTATTTGACTGCGGTATCTCTTCTTTACTGTTGCCATAACACTTCTGTCATCAAGATCAATCCATCACCTCTTATTATTCTCCTTAACATACTGCTATTTAGCTTCCACAATCCACTACTACATTATAACAGGGTGAACACGATTGTAGACTGACGATAGATATTGAAAGCTTGATGACTACCTAGTCGACTATATGCCTACCCAAACTAGTATAAATTTCAGAAGACTCACTCAGTTGGCTAGGTAATGGGTGTATTTTCAAAACAAGGCTAGAGAAAGTAGCAAAGAGTATGAAAATATTATATGGCAAATATTGATCCAGTAAAATGGTCTGCATAGTGCGTGTTAACAGCATGTTGAATTTTGATGATTAGTTGACTTCCACATCATGTGGCAACATGTGATTTGTTTTTATCAAACTAACAACAGATTAATGAGATTGATAGGAGATTGTGGACGCATCGATTTACGAATGCCCTGTATATACGGTAGGTAAACTACATTTATAACAACCACTGTGGTGTTGTGTATAAGACATTTTGGTTAGTTGTGAATCATGATTCCTTATGCAGTTAGATATTTGGCACACCCACAAACACGTGAATAAACAAGACATTGCAGTTTGTTAATTAACACCTGGCGTATAATACAGAAGCATATGAGTCATTCAGTTATTTTGTTCATTCTTGTAACATATAGCGATGACTAATCTTATACTTTTGCTACCCTGTATCACACTTTACTGTCTTACATTACTTGTATACCGGACTTTTGCATTGTACTTTGATACTATAAGGACAAATACAATTGCAGTCCAAGTATTGGTTTTTTTATTACAGCTTGATTCCACAGCGTATTTTTGGTACAAGTATGGAATTTTCAGCATGTGATATCGGTAGCCCAAATTTTGCATGCCGACCATAGATATCAGGTGTTCGTCGGCAGGGGATCGAACCCCGGACCATATGCATGGTCGGCGAAAGTCCCAACCGCTGTACCATCGACGCACAGGGATTTGATTGGTCACAGCGTTTCGTCATGAGCTGACATTGGTTAGAGAACCATTGGAAAACCAGCAGGGAGTACTGGACAGCTGTTTCCCCCGTCCTTGTTTGTGACTCTTCACAGCACGCACCCATCACAGGGGGTTCGGACCCAGGATCTTCTGGTTACAAGTAGAGCTACCTGGTATACCATTAAGCCACTGGGACCCGATCCAGTGGGCCAAATACAATTGTGTTTCTTTTGTGCGTAATCATGTTACAAGACATAGTGAATATTTTGTTCTCCAATCGTTTCTCGGTTTAACACATTGCTGACGCAATTATTATTTCAGCTAGAGGGGATAAAAACTCAGTCACAAAAATGTGTGCGGTACAAAGTGTTTTTGACAAATGAAATTGATAGGACTAAGAATAGAGGATTTCGCTAACCAATTTTCCATCACATATCTGCGAAGAGAATGTACTGAAGGTTCCTACTGATCTGCATTGAGAAAAGAGATTGTGAAATATCATTGGCTCTGACTAAACTAAGTATCAAGTGTGTTCTCATTTATGGTTTAAGGGAAACCTCGTCTAACCTACTAGTCCGCTAGTTTTTTTAGTTGGTCCTGAACCCTAAAAAAGAGGTAGAGTTGCACTTGGGGATAGCAACCCTACCCTGGTAAATTATTCCAATCGCTGCAGAAACTTGCACTGAGTGTCATGGAAAGCATTTCCAACAGGCTACTGCAGACTATTATCAACAGCTATTTTCTCTGGCTCCTTGTTGGCGATCAAATAACTGGTCAGAAAAAATTAGCAATAAACAACTCTGCGAAAGAATAATCCAAGAACCTCTCACTCAACAAATATGTAGAAGGAAGTGGAGATGGATCGGACACACACTGAGGAGACCATCGGGTGACATCGCGTGCCAGGGCAATCTCTTGAGTTGGAACCTCATCGGGAAACGACGAGTTGGGGGTCCTAGAGTGACATGGAGGAGATCGTGTGAGAAGGAGGAGGAGGTGGAGATGACAGATTACGGTCAATCGTGCGGAACTCAGAGAAAATGACAGTGTGGATATGTGGTGTTGAAAGCATATGTCCGACTCGGTGGAACCCAAAGGAATAATAAAATACAATAATAATTTTAAGTGAATTGTTTAGTGATATTGTTTGCTCTTTTTATATCGATGTGATGACACGTCCAACTTGTGCGTGCACACCTTACAAATTGACCATATATATAGATTTGTATGCGTTTTCTAATAACAGTTTATACAAGAGAAGTCTTCTAAAGCTTTAATGACTGTGGGATTTGAAATAGGCGTTGAAGTGGTTCATCTGGGAAGTGAATGTTTCTCACTCTAGCTGCATTGAAAAAATATATATATATATATTATTTTCACGGGTTTTAAGAGAGCTTATTTAATTTATTATCTTTTAGCTTTTCAGAGATTATAGGTCATAGATCAAGCTGTAGAGTACTCCTTTATATTCACCCGGTTCACAAAAAAATTATTTCTTGATGACCACCACTTTATTGTTATTTAGACAGCATAACCTTTTTCTATTCTTATACGTTCCCAGTGGAACATAGGGCTCCAAGCTAGAGCTTTGAAGTTTCTACGGAGGTGGTGTTTACTTTTACGGGATGGGGTTGCTAGCCTCATGCCCAACCTTCCCTCTTTACCAACCAGTCTTATTACTGACGTAGCGAGGTAAAGGAGTGCGTCGACGGGGGATCGAACCCTGAAGCACATACGTGGTTGGTAAGCATGCAAAAGACTGAATAACTGCAAAATTATTATTATTATTAGACTGTAAGTTGATGGAGTTCGTTTGATGATGCTTTACGTCTATCTTCTTCTTCTTCAGGTCATTAACTTAAGTAATTGGCGTTTGTATGCTGGTCCTACACGCGATGGTTCTTCAGATTTTGCACAACTCTATACCTTTCCAGATTGTCAGATTTTACAACCACATGCAGAATTACAAGTGAGTTGATATGATTATTGTTATATCGTTAATAATAATTGTTCTTTCCTTTGACTGACTGACGACTTTACACAGTAGTGCAGTTGGTTCAAGTTGCCAACTCTGTGTGTATCACCACCTAAAAGAAATTATGTGTAACTGGAACCATTAGTCAAAGACTTCATGTATTGATGCCATTTTTCAGTCTGACCAGCTGGCGCAGATGCATTCCCTCTTTGTGGTTTATCATATCCAATAAAACTGTTGTTTTTCCCTATTACAACTATTATTTTTCCCTCACTCACACTTGTGTTTATTGCCTCTCTTTTGAACCTCTCTTTACTGTCTTCTATTTTGTGTGCTACATGGGGGTAGTGCCGTAAATTGAACTGGTGCACATCTGTGTAAAGTTCTGCGTTGAAACCAGTCCGTCAGTTAGTCATATCTTCAGATGATTATCACAGAGAAGACGTGTTTGTCTTCCTGTATACTGATATCAACACAATAAAAATAAGTATTTGACCAATTCCTTCAGAAAGACGTTTATTTTCCCATGCTAAAGGAACATTATTATTATTATTATTGTTCCCTTGGGTTCCTAGTGGAACATAGGGCTTCAACTACACATCTCCACTTACTTCTGTCTTCTGCTGTATTTTTCACCTGCATCCATGTTAGTCCATACTGTTTCAGCTCCTCTTCACACGATCTCCTCCACGTCACCCTTGCACTGACGTCCCACTCACCGCTTCCCTTTCGGCCTGGTTCCACTCGAGCAATGGCCTGACGCGCGCGCAATGTCACCCAGCGGCGGCCTTGTCAGTGGGTGTCCAATCCATCTCCACTTTCTCGTGCATATTTGTTGGTTGGTGATTGGTTCTTGTTTTGTTGTCCCCATAGTTTCATGTTGGTGATTCTTTCTGGCCCGGCTATCTGATCTTCAGTATAGATCCAGCGAAGACAGTTGTTGGTTGATAAAGGTCTGCAACAGGCTGTTGGAAATATATTTTGTGACCCGCCCGTCAAGTTTCTGATCCATATAGAAGATCTGACTGACTTTACGTTTGTATTGAAAATCCGAGCGAATTTTGTTGTTGATGCTGAGTGACGAAGATTTCCAGATTGGTTTCAGGTTGATGAATGTGATTCTCGATTTGACATCCTCATCCGTTCCTCATGTAGTTGAGACAATGCTCCCTAGATAAGTGAATGAAGTAACCTCTTTCAAATCCCTCCCGTTGATGGTGATTGGGGCTGGATGTTGTTGTTGTCGTTGGTTGGTTATTTTCATAAGGTAACCTTTCCTCCAGTCAGTAGGCACCTTTCCCTCCTTCCAGAACTTTTACAGTAATGGAGTCAGCATATCTGCTGTCGTCCCTGGGTCCGCTTTCAGTGCTTCCGGGGGTATTCCATCTGGTCCAGCTGCTAGAGGAACATATAAGTAGGAATTATACTCATTAATATAATCATGTTCAAATGACTAATTAATTGCTAGTTTATAGCATGTAAATATGTTTGGATTGGTTTTAGCGTATATGTAATGAAAGATTCACTGGCTTAACTTTCATTTTACCTAAAGGTCAATTGTCTGGTTTGGAAGTCATGTGATGAGATGATTATAACTTATAACTGTGTCGGTAGTCCCTCATCGTATAACACATCGAATATGTGTAGAGACAACGTTTTTATTGAATGGACTTTGTCGCCGTTGTTCCACGTTAGATTGCTGACTTGCCATCCTATGGATGAATTAAAAGTATCCCTGAAAGAAACAGTGCAGTTTATCCATTACGCAAAGATGATTTTATACCTAAATTGTGATACACTTGAGAGATTCGGTGTTAATTCTGTGAATCCCTAGTTCTGAGTGATATAATCTTCTAAGCTAGATACTTAATTTCACTTGTTGGATTTCTCGGAGAACAAGTATCGGTTAGGGAAATCATTGAAAACCAAGAAGTACTTGACAACTGTTTCGTCCAATTCCGGGACTCTTCATCGGGGGATGCTCACAACTCCATAAAAGGACCGAACTTGGGATCTTGAGGTTACTAGACCAATTTCGTTGATCACCCAACCTCTTGGGCTGGGATATTCAGTGACTCGTGAATTCAAACCTTGTCAAATCGTGGTATATAGCATTACACTCAAACACTCCCTGCAGTGAGCATCCACTTCATCTGGGCGTGGTGGACCTCACTGTTCACCACTGTTCTCACTACAGCTTCAGAACATCTATCCGAAAGCATCTATGAATAGGTTGGAGATATTCACAGTTAGACTATGGGATTTGTCAGGATTTGGATTAGTTTTGATTTCAGTTGTGTTAGACTTCGTCAAAAACCAACATATCAACTAAATTGATCATTGACAAAGTGGGCATTCATGGGTCATGGAATTCCCACTGAAATGGCTGAATAGCTAGTTGGTGAGATTGGTTTCGTAACCTAAAGGTCCCCTCTGTCTGATCTCTTGTGGAGTCGTGGGTGCGCGCTGATGAGGAGTTTTAAAAATAGAACGAAACAGCTGTCCATTGCTTTTGGCTGACTTTCAATGATCTCTTTGTAGTAACTGATGTCAGATGATTTGTGACGAAATCTGAAAGTTGATATTAAACTAATCCTCAATCCCCTACAAATCTCATAATTCCAAGTGATTACTTAGTATTTATATCTCTAGAACTATCCTGTTAACAAAAAACCTTCATAATATCACAAAAGTAGGAGTAATGTATCGATTCACTAGATATGTATCTAAAAGGGGGCAGAACGAATCCTGTTTATTTTCCATTGTTGACAATTTCGATCAATGATTTAGCGTGAGAAAATTGTTGTCATTATTTATTTGTTCCATATATATAACTAGTAGGATTTTCGTTGTTTATCGCCGAGGTGCACTGAAGTGGGAGTAAAAATACCATCAAATTAATTGGCTGTGACTGGCTGTTAGTGGTATGTTGCTAAGTTTTCCTAAAGATAAGAGATCGATTATGAGTGAACTAGTATTCGGACATGTTTATTCTGTTGTATTTGGTAAAATGACCTAGAAACCTGTCGGTTGATTTCAGTCATAAGCAGCTTTCTACCTTATCTCCGCTTAACAATATAATACCCTTGCTACGACTTTATTGTTTTTATAAGTTTTTTATACAACTAACTAAACATTGTTGGTCTGACTGCTTAAAGCTTTCCCAAGGTCTGAAAGTAAACGACATGTTACTACGCTACTTAAATACATATATCAGAACAACTATGTCCTAATACTAGTTCACTTATCATGCTTTTGTGGATAACCTAACTACGTGTCTCATACCCTTCAGCCTTCGATCCAAGCCTTATTTGATTTGTTGGGGGGATTTCATCATGACGTGATATCAGTTAGAGATAAGTATTGGAAAACCCCTCGGAGTATTGGGGACTTGTTTTGGTCCTAGCCTGGGACTCTTCATCAGTACGCACTCACCGGGGTTCGAACTCATGGACTCATTTGATGTATAAATGTCCACACATGTGTGTGGAACAAAATTGTTGTTGAGCCTCACTGAAATTAAGGTTACGCTTTCAGTTGTTTACATATCAAGTATATGAAGGTTGGAAGCAGTGTAAATGTCTAAATTATTGATTATTATTTGTTTTTAAATTGAAGTTGCTTCAAAACATATACACTGGGCTGTGTGTGTGTGTGTGTGTGTGGCGTGTGCTACTAACAGAATTTATGTGTAGCATGCAGATACAGACTGATAGGAAACAGTCGAAAATTGAAATCAGCATTTTGAAGTCAATAATGAATGCAGAGGTAGAGGTATTTATTCTTCAAATGTGTAGATCTAGTATTAATATATGTGTAAAACATGGGCACTTTGGTAGTAAGTAATTCCATATTAGTTTGTTTATTAGATATATCACCCACACAGTGAAACAGTATTGTTGTTAACTGGATGACGTTTCGAACAAAATTTGTCGCTGTTCATAATCATATCAATTATAATCACACGACTTTGAAACTTCAGTTTTATAGTTTTTTCGTCCTTTCCTATTTATCGTAGGGGTAGTAGAATTTTCCAGATATCTGAGACAGGTGTTGAATCATTCTTATTACACGCGTTTGCAATAGATTCGATAAACAAAGTCTCCTCTGTCATCAATCTCTCCCTCCACCCTGCTGTTACATTAGATTTTAAAACTGTTATCTTATCCCATCGTCATCCTATTGTATGGTTGTGTGTAAGTGCATGTAGTGAGTGCTATCTACGGCTGAACTATCCTCTAGATTTCTTATCTTATTCGGTACAACTAATCTAGATTTTGCTGCCTGGTTTTTATGCTCCGATAGTCTCACTGACTACCCCTGTTCTACTAGTTTGACCTATGTATTTGACCTGACAATTATCGCAAGCAGGATATTAGATAAACTTAATTGTTTTGTTTTAAAGACTCCACAGGATTGATCCTTTAATCGACAAAGCTTGTTTCTAATTGAGTTTGCGGGTTTGAACGCCGGGCACTTTCATTCATGCCTTGTTAAGAATTGTGAGTAAGGTTTCCGAGGTTCCTACTTTGTGTGGAATTACTCCTGATGATTCAGATTCCTTATTGTTGGTGTTGTCATTATCTGGCGCATGTTTGACATGCATGTCGTCATTATTATTATTATTATTATCTACATACCTCCAACATACTTTTGGGCTGGGGCTAAACGTTTCAGTCGCTATGTTTTCCCATCTATCCATGAATATATCTGCCACAACCGGGGATATTGGTGACCCCATGGATACTCACTCAGTTTGTTTGTATATTTCCAGGCTTAGCTGGACTCGGAGGACTATGCCCTCAAGTGGTGCTTCCGTTCTAAGTTTGAGTTATTGGTCAGAAATGAGTTCGTTTTTGACTGCCGCTATAGCCATATTTATTGGTATACGTGTATATAAACTGACAATGTCAAAACTAACAGTATTTTCTTCATGATCTAATTTTAGATTATCTAATCTGTGTTTTAGTTCATAAGAATTTGTTAGTCTAGATTTTGAGTGGCTTTTAAGGGGACTTAGTACTATAGCTAGATCACTAGCGAGCTTCAGATTAACTTTCAAGACTTCTTTTGTAGGGATTTGATTTTTTTTTTCAAGTTTGACCACGGATTGATTTCAGTTAGTGAGCAACTAAAAGCCAGCAGGGAGTACTAGATAGCTGTCTCGTCGCGCTAGCTAGCGGTTGCGCTGAAATTCAAGGGCCACTGTGTCGGATCCTAGTAGGTGGTGTAGTCTACTAGCTTGGCTTGTAATCTGAAGGTTCGGTGTTCCATCCCTGCTGATGTCATATAGGTGTGCGTACTGATAAAGACTCTCGAATTAGGACGAAACAGCTTCCGGTACTTTCAAATTTCTCAGCAGTTATATTTTAAAAAGATCCCTTAGAAAACTACTTGATTTAATGCTTCACACATAAAAGTTGTTTCATTCTCTTGGATATTTTCCAGCAACATGCTAATTCGCTTTTTACCTAGGTTATATCAGTTATAGTAATAGTGTGGTGAGAGCTGGTTGCAAGATAAAACTTGTAGAGACAACAATTTACGTCAATGTTTACGTCCTGAATCAGGGTCATGAGAAAAACAATAACAAAGCTAAAGTTTGAGATAAATCACCAGTCAATCACAGTGGAGTAGTTATAGTGTGGAAATATGATTCGAAGACTTGTTTTTCTGAGAAACAGCCACAAAGAGATGACAGAATATAACCTTCAGAAAAAAAAATCAATCAATCAGAAGAGGTTGCTTCTCTGCTAACAATAACGCTAACAATAATGCACATGAAAATCTGTAAATACCTCTTGATTTTCTCAATAAACGATCTGTTTCTTTGGCCCATGTCTTCTATTGTTATAGTAGTAATAGTTATACTATTTCACTGATTTATATATATATATATATATATATATATATATATATATATATATATATAATAAGCTAGTATGGTATAACATCCAGCGACAGTGCTATAGCTTTAAATGTGCCTTTTCTCAGTATCTATCAGAGCTTCACGTAGTTGCCTTTGTTTTCCTTTGCATTTTTAAAGCTGTGATAAAAATTGTAGATGGTTTTCACTTCATAACTTGTTTTTGCATACTTTTCATGTTGTTTTTTCTTCCACATTTTAGGTATTTTTGTGCTGGGCAGCAGAACCATCACAGGTATCTTCTGCGAAACGTGCTTGTCGTGATGTTGCTGCAACTTTGCATCTAATTACGCCTATATCCGTTTGGAATCAGTATAACAGTGTAATTGCTCTACAAGATTCGCTTGGTTCTGTAAGTTATTTGTGTTTAAATTTAAGAAAACACCTTTTGTGTATTATAGTCAGTTGTTTGTATATACACACTTATATTTCAAAATTTTTTTGTATGTGGTTAAACTGTTGTCGTGGTGTAATACAGCTAATGGATTCCAACAAAATATTATTCTGATTGGACACTAGTTACTAGTGTGATGTGTCTAGTCTTTTCTTTGGTGCAGACTGAATTCTATCAGTCAGGTTTGCAATGTGGCCACCATTCTTAAGTAGTTGGCCATCACGATGCACATTGATTTGATGATATTAGATGGTTGGAGGCAGTCGGCCACAGGAAGCCTTGTTTGACCTAGGTTTCGTGTTAGTTGGCACTCATCAGCAAGACTTATCTGCAACCTTGAAGGAACTCATATTGCTTCTGAGATTCCAATCGGCGTCACAGTAAGAATCATTGTATTTGATGGTATTAATGTCTGAATACTATTCGCACAGTTCAACAGTGCATTAGCGACAGAATGCTACTATGTGTATTTGAACATTCTGTTTCATGTCGTTTATTAAAACCAAAATCACAAGCTCCGTGATTGGTTAGAGAATATAAAGCTGTATATAGATAAACACCACTTTGATCACTTGAAAATATACCTTTACTTCTTCTCTTTCTCGCCTTCTACTGTTACACTATGATTACAAAGCCTGTCTGTGTCTTTGTTTCTCGTGAATTTTTTTAACTCGGAGTTGTAAAGGCATTCATTCTTCTCCTCCCACCCTCACAAATCGCATTTGTATTTTCTTCCCTGTGTAGTGTAAGGGACTTCTGTTGAGATTTACCCTAAATATCCAACTCTCTTTCAAATAATCAAATATATATATATATATATATATATATATATATATATATATATATATATATATCGACAAAAGGATGATATAGGTATAGGTTCACCACTAGGCCCTGTTTTGCTGGCTAATGTGTTCATCTGGATACTTGAAAATATACATAGTTAAAGAAAATAACTGACACTTTTGTGTGCTTCAAGAGATACTTGAATGATGCTTTCGTTATTTATCCAATGATGAAGAGAATTTAGAAGGTATTCTGGATTCTTTCAATAGGCGTCACCATGCAGTCCAGTTCACATTAGAGAATAGTTTTTCGACGTTCAGCTGACAAGATGTGAACAAGAATCAAACGCCGATGTGATTCATTCACAGGAAGCTGACTTGTGACAGACAGTTAACAAACTTGATCCGGGAATTGAGCCACAAAATTCATAACATTTGCAGTTCTGACACCATGGAAGAGAGCAGATCAACATTCTAAAAAAGAATTCTCACTGAAAATAATTACTCCGAACCTCCCCATCTTTCGGAGAAAAACTATTTGAATTTACGATCCAATGAAAACTCATCGACAGGAATGCCAAGAAACAGTCCGTCGCGTAAAAGAAAATCTTCGCAGCTAAATTTAGACTCACTTTCACTCCATAATCAATGATTTGTATGAATTTGAAAGCGCTATACTACCACCTCAAGCCTCATTAATATGCATTGATCAATTCACCTGTTCCTATGGTGCTAGATATGTTGGCCGTACTTAGTGTTTGCTAACCCAGACGTACTATCGAACACTTGTTCTCGTCGTTTCCCAAGGGAGAAAAAACATCCATCTATTCAGTTGTATTCTGGAACACCTCATTAAGCGAACCAACCTCAATCATCTACGGAGTACGCGGAAATCTTACCAAGAGGGTGGGTGGGTTACGAATCGAATTTCTTCAAACCGTAGAAGAGATGGTAATCCATATATTAAATCCTGAACTTTGCATACTGCACAAGTTTGTTCACCCACTGAATCTACGGTGAAACTAATTTGTTTTACGAGTGGTTACTTAATCTTAAGTTTTTAGTTTCTTATGTATATGACTTGTTTTTCTCCATCCACAGCTGCGATTATTACATTTCCACTTTTAATAGTAATAATAATAATTTACTTTATTCCAAAATAGTACTTATGATACAGCCTCAGATTCCCAGTATTCAGTAGAATATTGCACCTAGTTCACTCAACAACTGTTACAACACCAAAATATTACAGTGTATATGTGACTAGAAGTGATAATAGTCGCTTTTAGGCATTCGCAGTGACGACGAAGTCAAAAATGCACAAAATGTGTAAAATAATAATGATGATAATAATGTTGTGAATAGCTAAAACGATAAGATAATTGAAATAGTGTCACCATAATTGACAGATAGGAGAAGATAAAAGAGTCAGTTGTTTTTGATTAATTACGAAGTAAGCTGTCAGTTTTACACTTAATACCTATCTGTATCTCACATAGAACGTGGGCTGGTGAAATAAGGTATCTTTGAGTTTCGATACTTAGTTGTGCGAACTTATAATTTTTTATAGTGACTGACTTCTAGCCTTACCTGATAAGGTGTAAGGTGGGGTGGGGTGGGGGGGAGAGTTGTGAGTGGAGAGGGTGTTGAGAGTCATACAGAGCATGGATTAGGACTGTAGTAGCAACGAGTTGACTAAGTGATACACCACTTGGCGTACTGGCAAACCTTTAATACCCTGTGCAACATGACATATTCCTTTTTGAGTATGCCAGGATAGACTAATAAGGGTGATGGTTGGGAGTAGGAGGCAATAAAAATCAATAGGTAAAACGGAAGAGTTAACAAATTGTAAAACGTGGAGGTTGAGTGAAGACTACCTGATTGTCTCAACTGCTCAGTGTAGTAGGTCAGGCGGAATAATTTCTTAGAAATCAACAAGATATGGGATGATGAAGAAAGAAATGTCAGAGGACAGAATTATTCCAAGGTATTTTACGCTTGACCTTATTTCTATTTCAGTGCACGGTATGCTACAAGCATTGTGTGAATGAACCAGTTCTTATAGATCACGTTTGCGCTGTATAGTGAAGTTAATAGTCTGATATTTAGGATGGTAGGGGGAGAGAAAATTTAAAGTAAGACCATATAGCTTGGACAACTGGCTGATATCTGACCAAAAGTTATTAGGTTTGAAACTGTCAGTTCGTGAGGTAACTGACAACGAAACAATCAGATCACCAGCGTATTTATCGAATTCGATTTTTTTCTAAAAGAGGCAAGTCATGCAAGAAGAAACAAGAGGAGCAAGAACAGCACCTTGAAGAACATAGACTTCAGTAAGCAAGGCAGATGATTCGCCTTTACAGCATAATGTATTTGTTCCTACTCGATTAATACTTTGTTGTCTAAAACTTACTATTCTAATGATACATCTTTGAAAACGTTCCTTTTGTTGCAAAGACAAATTGACTATCTATATATGCGGTTATACAACATGAGTATGATATCTCTGGAATGATTAACTCTTCACTAAATGCCTTTTTTTAAATGCTGTTTCATTCAAGTGTTAGTTTGCAGTGATTTTACTAATTGCGGGATTTTATCATTGACTGATGTCAGTTAGAGAACATTGAAGTAGTGGACGGCTGTTTCATCCTAGTTTGAGACTCCTCAACAGTACGAACCCATTGCGATTCGAACCCAGGAACTTCCGATGACGAGGCGAGCTCGTAGACCATTCATTCGGTAAGACCCCGATCCAATGGCCCGTGAACTCCATTTCCTGCCACTTCACCTGGGTTCTAGTGGGACAACAAATAATCGCCAGCGATGACATTGGGTAGTGGTCGCTCTGTATCGTAAATTGGCGGAAGTTGTAATTCATGGCCTGGCCATTGGATCGGGTTTGACTGGCTGAATGGTCTGCGGACTCACTTTGAAACTGGAAGGTCCTTGGTCCGAAGCTCTGTGCTGGGTGCGTACTGATGAAGAGTTGCAAACTAGACCGGTGAAACAGTTGTCTGCCCAGTACTCCTTACTGGTATTCCAATGGTTCTCTAGCATTCTTATTTTGTCGTAAAGCTACACAATATCGAACTACTACTCTGTTGCGTTTCGTCGATTTTGGTCTCGTGTTCTTTTTTGACGCTTATATTTGCTTTTACTTTGTTATGTACTAGTCGCCAAATTATTGTTATGTACTGGCCGAGAATTTAATAGTCCTGACGCAAGAAAGACGGAAATCAGAAGACCACTACCATTAGGTTTGCGATGATACTTCTATTTTCCAAACACAAGGAGAATCAATATGTCACACAAGAGTGTGAGAGCAAAATATATATGAATGTCCAAACAAGTGTGTGAGCGAATATTCCAAATGAACAAATCAATAGACACTCTTAACATGATTGGCTAATTATAATGGAATATCGATCCATATATACATAGCGAAATATAACAGACTGTCAACAAACACACATATTATATATAATATAAGGGGAATATACATTGTTAAAGGAAACAGGTTCATCAAAGTGAAATGGTCACAGACTTATATATATATATGGATACATATCATACTTTTCCACTGTCTTTTTTAAAAATTGGTCCATCTTCTCATGTTTGTTTTTTCTGTGTTTTTATTCCTAAAGGTCCGAGCTACTTGTGAAATGCAGCCGTGTGGTGAAAAGTTTTCGAAGAAGACAACAGCAGTTTCTGATAGTTTAAAGGATGATTCATCTGTTGATGTGTCAGATAATGAATCATCTTCAAGTGATTATCATGACTCGTTAACTGTACAGCCTGAACATCATCAAGGTGAATCAGTTAAGAGAGTGACAACTTCAGAGACAAAGAGAATTTTATCATCAGCACGCAGTAGTAGTAGTAGTAGCAAAGGTGCTCATTTCGATTTACCTCAACGTGTCAGCATGGTTCATTTTCGTAATAATATTTGGTCAAATGAAGTAAGTTGTATTTTGTAATACTTATTTCCCATTACTTAAGGTAGTTAGCTTTTATTCCTAATGTATAATAAACACCCTACTTGTGTACATTCGATTAGCTTCCCATGGCCTGCTAAAATCACTAGGCTAGCTGAATTTCCATTCAACATTGATACACAATGTCCTCGAGTCCTTGTGGGTGAAGAAGACCTTGGTAAAATACAGAATCTTTTGGTCAGGCTGGAAAAGAGAGTTATTGGCGCTCAAACCAAAACATGACTTCATCAGTCAATGAAATTCACAACAGTTAGTTTAAGTCACGTAGGAAGGTGTAGACTTCCTGGTTGGGGTCCTCGGGACGGTAAAAACCAAGGGCTGGAACAGCTGGATGCATCCACTCCTTGTGACTTATAATTTCCAATCTATCTGTCTGTCTGTTTTCGACATAGAACATAGGGCTTCAACTACACGTCTCCACTTGCTTCTGTCTTCTGCTGTATTTTTCACCTGCATCCATGTTAGTCCATACTGTTTCAACTCCTCTTCACACGATCTTCTCCATGTCACCCTTGCACTGATGTCCCACTCGCCGCTTCCCTTTCGGCCTGTCTGTCTGTCTGTTTTCGACATAGAACTTTGCACAAATGTGCGGAAGTTCAAGTCGCCACATTCCGTGTAGCTCGCGAAGCAAGAGAAGAAAGTACAAGAAAAGCATAATAGAAACAGTGAGCAGAGGTGTGAGACAAAGGAGTAATAAAGAAATACAAAACAGTTTCATTGAAGATCATAAGTCACAGGGAGTGGATGCATCTGCGCTAGCCACTGAGAACGATTTTGAGCCATGTCACCAATTGTTTCCAACCATAGATTTTTACCGTCCCGAGGACCCCAGCCTGGAAGTCTACACCTTCCTACGTGGCTTAGACCAACTGTTGTGGATTTCATTGACTGATGAGGCCAAGTTTTTGTTTGTCCGCCGCTAGCTTTTTCCAGCGTGACCCTATATCCGCTAACATTGCTCGTCGAGGGAGGCGATGGCTTGGCATACGTAACACATGTCCTAACCATCTCAGTCGATGTAACTTCACGACTTCGTCGATTGATTTCCCCTGTTTACCTAGAACTCTACGCCTAACCTCCATGTTGCTCACCTTATTATACTACTTCAGACGGGAGATAGAACGCAGGCACCTATGATCAAAGACAGCTAGTCTTTTCATGTCTTCCACTCTCAGTGGCCAGGTCTCACAACCATAAAGGAGGACGGAGCGGACTGATGAGCAATACACCTGCCCTTTGGTCGATAGTCGAACATCTCGTCTACGCCAGAGTCGGCGTAAACTAACAAATGCGAAACGAGCCCCTTGTATTCGTGCTGAGATTTCGTCAGAGGTCAACTCGTTGGCACTGGCTGATGGTACTTCCCAAATAAGTGAAGCGGTCAACGTGGTCTACCACTTCACTTCCTATTTTTAAACTAGGCGTCGATGTAGTCCAGTCCTGTAACATCATCTTGCATTTGGCGGGAGCGAATCGCATGCCAAACATTCGTAGATTGCGGCTCAAGGTGTTTAGAAGACTCTGCATTTCGTCAGCGTCTTCGCCTAGAAGGACTATATCGTCTGCATATTCTAAGTCAACGAAAATAATATATATATATATATATATATATAATTTCCAATGAAACTATATTGTTCTTCGTTATTACTTTCTATAGTTTGGTTTGTAAGGATTAGTTATGTTTTACGAGTTGATCACGGATTGATATCAGTTAGAGAACCATTGAAAACCAGGGAGTACTGGACAGCTGCTGTTTCATCCTAGTTTGGGAATCATCGGATGTACGCACCCACTGGGTTTCGAACCCAGGACCTTCCGGTTACAAGGCAAGCTCGTATACCATTCAGCCACTGGGACCCGATTCAATGGCTCGTGAATTCTTACTTCTACCGATTCGTGATTTAGCGCGACCCCAACCAGTGGGTGCGTACTGCCGATGATTCCCAAACTAGGATGAAACAGCAGCTGTTTAGTACTCCCTGGTTTTCAATGGTTCTACGTTATTACTGTTCCTCTGTCTGACATCTCTGTTTACTGTCTCTATTATTCATTTCTTCTACTCTCGTCTCTTTCTTTGTGTGCTACATGGAATGTGGCGACTTGAACTGCCTCACATTGGTGCAAAGTTCTATGTCGAAAACAGACAGAGACAGACATTTTAAAGAGATATCATCGATTGTTTGCCATCCGCTTCACCTCTGACAGATGCTGAAGGGACTGCTGGTATGCGTCAACTCTTAGTTTTTGATGGTAGGAAGTGAATTCGTCAATTTTGTCAATGTGTGTGTGTTGATAACTTCACTTATTCGGGAATCCCTCTAATGGACTGAGTGTTGACAAAATCTTGGAACGGATTCAAAGTCTTATATGACATTTGCTTGTGACATTTAGCTATTGATCAAAAAGCGTGTGAATTACACAACAGTTCTCTCTATGTTCCAATCTTATGACTGTGAGAAATGGTCATTTAAAGCTATCGTTGACTACTATACGTGTTTTTCTATTTTATGTCCCGTGTTATGTAGTGGTATAACATGGTCATTGTAATAATGAGGTTAGGGGTAGATTTGGATGTAGGTAGGGAAAAGAATTCATTTGGTCGGGTTGTGAAAGCTGCATCGACTTGAAATGGTCGGGGCGTCTTGCTTATGCTGAGTCCCGCCTTTCTTAACGAGCAATCTTAGCTAACATAAAGGTTGAGTGGAAAAATTGGTTAAAAGGTGATCAAATCAAAACCCTCGGATCATTTCATGAAGTCGTTTGACTGATCGAGATCCACTGAACCTTCACGATTTTCCGTGTTACTTTTGTTTCTCCAGTGCATTCCCCGTAATTCATTACAGTTTTTTCGATGGTAATAATAGTTAATAAGTAATCCACATTACTATGGTGGATTCAGAGTGATCACCATTTCTTTATGTGTACAAAGAGACCTGGTTTATAAACTCTGATTGCCTAAGCCTCTTCAACTGCAAGTATCTTTCTGTTTGTTTGTCTGCTGACAATAGCAAATGACTTGAAATCGTCAATGTAACGCGTCCGTAGTAGTCAATAAGTTGCTTTGTTGTTGTTGGACTTTTTGGCACTTTAACTCCAACTATTTTCCAACCATTTGAGCAAATACTGAGTCATGCGAGTAGACAATCGGAATGGATGCAATAAGATACACTGATAATTCTTTACGGTTGTTGTGAACTTTTCTTATAATACGTACCTAATCATATTCATATCTCTACCGCTATTAACACTCTTTTTTTCCTTTATATGTTTAAGCCATTCCGGCTTCATTGTAAAATGAATAAAGCCTAAATTCTTGGTTCATTCGTCTTTTCAAGATTCAAGCATCACTCATCGTTCTAAGACTCAGTCACAAATTTATTCAATTTATTCATTTTACAATATTCATGGAACGGTTTTTCCGACCTGATCGGTTCGACTTAGAACCTAACGCAGTTGGAGCTGCCAAGAAGTGGGATCACTGGTTCGCGACTTTCTCCTACTTCATTGAATCAATGGGATCCGAAAATCCTTCGAAACTAAATATTCTCTTCAATCATATTTCTACTTCTGTATACGAATGCATTTCTGAATGCAAAACATACGAAGAAGCTATTGACACTCTCAAGAGTCTCTACATGCAGCCTTGCAACGAAGTGTTTGCTCGACACTTGTCAGCAACGTGTAAACAAGAATCTGGCGAAAATCTGGATCAGTTTGTTCGTCGACTCAAGTCACTGACTACAGATTGTTCATTCAGAGCGGTTACAGCCGAAGAACATCGTAACGAATCACCACGTGATTCATTCATCTCAGGTATACAGTCTTCGATGATACGCCAGAGGCTATTGGAACAGCGTACTTTAACTTTTCAAGCGGCATACGATCAAGCACGAGCTCTAGAGATGGCACATCAACAATCGCAGTCATACAACAGTCCTGTTACACCTTGCGCGTCCATTTCTTTACATGATGTACCTCATTCATCAGATTCCACACTCTTCGTCAATGAAACAACCATTGCTGCCGTTGAATCCAAATGTTTTTTCTGTGGTAATCGTAGACATCCTCGTTCCAAATGCCCCGCCCGTGATGCAGTTTGCAAAGCTTGTGGCAAGCAAGGACATTTTCAGAAGGTTTGCAGGTCTGCACCATCTACGAAAAAAGGTCCATCTTCAGTTAACTCTATAATTTCATCTCTCGTTGTGGCTTCAGCACCTCAAAGTCTCACTGATTCTGTTACGCAGCTTACTGTCAATGGGAAATCAATGCAAGCTCTAGTGGATACCGGAAGCAGTGAGAGCTACATCTCTTCCTCAGTTGTTCGTAAGTATAACTGGAAAGTCCATAAGTCTCGAAACAGAATCACAATGGCGAGTACGAATCTTACTAGTCATACTAAAGGACATTGTTTTCTATCCATCTGCTATAAAAACCACACTTATGATCTATTCAAATTTTCCATTCTTCATAATTTATGTGCAGACGTCCTTCTTGGACATGATTTTTTAAAACTTCACAAACACATTGAGATTCCTTTTGGGGGATCAAAGCCGCCTTTTTCTCTCTGTGTTCGCGTCGACCTGCTTACTCTGTTTGAAAATCTTTCAAAAGATTGTAAACCGATCACAATAAAATCCCGGCGTTATTCTTGTGAAGATGAAAGTTTTATTTCCACCGAAGTCAACCGGTTACTGCAAGAAGGTGTTATTGAACCTTCTAATTCTCCTTGGCGAGCTCAAGTTCTTGTTACGTCAAACGAACGCCATAAAAAGAGGATGGCAGTTGATTATAGTCAGACAATCAATCGATTCACTTTTCTGGATGCTTACCCATTACCTAGGATTGACGAAATGATAGAAAAAATCGCACAATATGACATATTCAGCACTCTTGATCTGAAGAATGCTTATCATCAAATTGCCCTAAGGAACGAAGATAAACCATATACTGCTTTCGAGGCT